CACAAAATAAATTCTGAACAATTAGGATTAATTGGAGGAAAGAAATACAAGTTTCGTGTTGAATATTTCCATCTAAGTAGTATTAAACATGATTACCCTGACACTGCACATATTATTTTGTATTGGAAATCTGATAACATAGTTGAAGAAATTATTCCAACTAATTATTTTTTTCAAGGGAATGTAACAACTCCATTACGAATTACACATTTAAAAGGTGATGAATATGAAATAATGTTTCTTGAAAACGGGATGTATGCTTTTATGGATTCAGAAAATTATGTAGTTGCTGATATTCCATCTGTTTATGAAAAATCAAGGTGCATAATTACATCCCTTTCTAATAACAATAAAAGTAGCATACAATTTAGGATAAACACAAATAGCATCATCTTTGTCGCTATACCAAAGGATCTAAAGGAAATTCCTCTAAACGATGTAACAAAAAAAAATTTTGAAAATACGAAAGAAATCTTATCAATTTATCAGGTTAACCAAGAAAATAAGACGAACGCATCTGAACAAAGAATATATAATATATACTCATCTGAATATTTCAACGGAGATGTTATTATAAATTTCACGAAACCAACACCATTTCTTATCTTTTTACAACAACATGAATTACATTCCACAAATAATTGTATAGGATATGTTCAGATAGTTTCACTTACAAATTCTGTACATGTTAATTCTTGTTATACCTCATCATATGAATCTCAAAAATTTGATTGTAATGCTGGATTTAGTGGAAATAATGAAGACAAAGAATATTCAACATGGAAAACGGCATCTGATAAATCGCTAGGACAATACTTAAGTGTGAACTTTAAATACGAGATAGAAATTCATTCATTCACTTTTAGAACACTGTCTTCACTGGAAAATCCAATTACAGAATTGACTTTATATTTTCCAAATGTAAAAACACCTGAAATATTTGCAATATCTCCAGGGCATCATCACTACAAGATTAAGAATCCAATAAAAACGAAAAGTGCAAAGGTGGTTATATCCAAAGTAAACGATCCAAAACACCAGAGTGGTGGTAATGTATCTTTTTATGGAATCCCTTGTATAGATTCAAAACGTGAGCAAACAAATGTTGAAAAAAAAAAACAATCTGAAATTAATATATTTTTTACAAGTAAAAATATTAACATGTCATCAAAACCGTTGAATTCGATAATTGATAATGGAAAAAAAAAAGATCAATATGGATATTTTAAATATGGTTGGGAAAAATTACCTACCCCCGTGGAATATGAAAATCCGGATAAAAAGGACCTCACTCATGCAGGTATTTCTTTCCGTCCTTTGGAATGTAAAAATAACAACGATGTTTGTGATGCTTCTAATACATGGTCAATTGACTTGCTCCACAGCGGAACATATTACATCGCAATCGAAATAGGATCCCCAATTGGTAGACAAGAACTAAATTCTATCAAAGTTAATGGGGATGTATTTATAAATAATATGTTCTTAAAGCCTAAGCAGTACAGTAAAGTTACCTCTGATATCATCATCTCGGAAAATAAAACCCTCCAGATTTCCACTAGTACGAACACTGTTATACAGTCTATACAACTTTTATTTCTGCACAAATGATCTAGTAGTATGTTGTGTACAGAGGGCTGAAAAGAAGCATTCTTTTTAATCTTTTTGATACATTGTATTTTTTTTTTTTTTTTTTTTTTTTATGTATGTATGTATGCATTCTTTAGTACTGATATATTTTTTTTTTTTCCTTTTTTGTTCCCCTTTGTCCCATTTTGTGATTGTTTTTAAATTGCTAAAGCAGCGATTTTCGTTTTCTGTTCTCTATATATTACCAAATTTTTTACATAGAGAAGCACCTTTTTTTAGTAACTTTTTTTTCACATCCTTTTTTTTTGTTACCCATGAACGTGAACCATTCGTATTCTGGAAGTACATTAACGCTGTTTTATAAACAATCTCCGTCTGCATTTCTTCCCCACATTTTAATGTTAAAATTGTACGACTGGTTGATACGTTTAGCTTTTTCTTTCCAAAAAATGTAAGCACTGTCTAGTGCATATTTCGTTTAAGGAACACATGAGATATGACAAGGCAATACCATTTTGTGGACGTAGTAATGAATGAGCATTCATTTTCTGTGTCAAACCTCGGACTTACAATTACTTATACGCCGGGTTCTTCAGGGCTCCTTTTTGAACTAAGATAATTCGGTTGTATTCTGTTGTGCACTGGATTTGTTAAATTTGTAAAGGGACATATAGGGGTGCGTATGTATGCTCAGGAATGTATAATAGCATTATTGAAAGGGAATGCAAAATTCTTTTCTTTTCCTTTATGTGTACGTTTCACGAAATGAGTATGAATGGAAAACCATATTTCTCGATGTTCACATCATTTGCATTGTTCGTGATGTTCTTGCTGTTTGTACTGGCTATTTTTTTCATATAATTCATGTTGTTCTTTGAGATTTCTCTTTTTTTTTTTTTTTTTTTTTTTTTTTTTTTTGTTCCATCATAGATGCTAACCTTGGTACTGTAATACGTATTTTCCATAACATGAGAAAGCTTTGAAAGAGGGGATCGGGGGGTTCCCTTTAAAAAAGGGTAGGTTTTGAAAGTAAAAATTAAAACAGAAATAGAAAGCTATTTTTATTTTTTTTTGTGTACAAAATAATGAAAAATAATAGAATTCGTGGAAGTGATGCATTCAAGACTAATCCATGCGTTTGTCTTATAATTTATTTGAAACGGTAGGGAGAGGAGAAAAAAAAAAAAAAAAATGTATCGCATCTTAGATGCCGCTTAAAAATGGGATTTTAAAAATAGGGGGGTATATGCATATTACAAAAATAGAATTGTACCACACTTATTAAATAAATATACTATTATCTATGTGCTTTGAAATGCAAATAGGCTGTACAAATACAAAACAACTTTAATTGGTATACTAGCATTTTGAGTTTCTTTCTTATATTATAAGATGAAGAAAAAGGGACCTAACCAGTGAGCTAAGGAAAAATGGGGCACCGTAGGGGAAAAAAATAAATAAAAATAAAAAAATAATTAAAATAAAAATAGTAAAAAAAATTGAAAAAAAATGGTAAAAAAATAGTAAAAAAAATTGTAAAAAACATAGTAAAAAAAATTGTAAAAAATATAGTAAAAAAAATTGTAAAAAAAATAGTAAAAAAAATTGTAAAAAAAATAGTAAAAAAAATTGTAAACAAATTGTAAACAAATATTAAAAAAAATTGTAAAAAAAATAGTAAAAAAAAATTGTAAAAAAAATAGAAAATAAAACACACAACTGTACGGCGATATTGAAATGCATGGCGGCATATAAACGTACACACGACATACCCAATCCGTTAAAACGTTAAAACCGAGAAAAAAGGCCTCTTGACATGGTAACACAAAATGGTCGTAAAGGATTATAAAGACTTGAAATTTTATAATTACATTCCCGTAAACAAAGAACTGAAGAAATCATGTGTACCATGTCCGGATACAGAAGATTTTGAGGCCAAATTAAATCAAGAATTTGAGGAGCAAGTAAAAAATGCATTTCAAGGAAATGTACTTGACCGAATTGATGCAAAAAATATCAATGCTGATTTGAAAAGAGATTTAAATAAGAAATTAAAAATATTGTCAAAAAAAACGGATAAAGCTATAATTGAACTAGTTAAGAGGAAAATAAATGAAAATAAGAGCCGTAGAGGAGAAGGGTCATCCAACGACAACTATGAAAATGATGATAGAGACAAACAAAATGAAATTTCTAACACGACATTAAATTTTAATCAAAATGAAGATGATATGAACTATGGCCGTCTTCTGCATCAAGCTCTGGACAAGATGGATATAATGGATGACTCTGATTAAGGGCTTTTCCTTTTTTTTTTTATTTTTAATTTTTTTTAATTTTTCAACCCTTTTTCATTTTACAATAATTATATAATTCGACAGACTTGTATCAAATATGTGTGCTTCGCTCAGTTTTGCTTATTTTCTCATCGTCCAGCCCTCCTATGTACCATTCCTTATTGGGCGTTTTTCATAGGAAACTATTTATTACATATTTTAGCACTACCTTTTTTTTTTTTTTTTTTTGTAAAGCATGAAACCATCTAGCATATCATCATTATTAACTCATATCGTTGTACAATCAGACCATCGCAATTCCACATTATATGCATTGTTATTGATTATTTATATCAGGTGGATTATTTGGTTAGTTAAATGTGGTAACTTCATTTAATATTTTTTAAATATTACGTAAGACGCTTTTTTTTTTTTTTTTTTCCTATTTGTCGCTGCAAATAGTGATAAAGACACTGTTTAATAAGAAAAAAGCTTCATGAACATAATTTTTTTTTTATGAATTTAGAGGAATCATTTTACATGACAAAAATGCAAAAAAAAAGAAGAAAAAAAATTTGCTAAACGTTTAGGTAAATTCAACGAAAACTATTGTATATACATTATCCCAGCGGTATCTGCAGAGAGACCCCACCTCTATGGAGCACTTCGAATTTGCATCATTTTACAAGCATTCGAACAAATCATTCACATAACTCAAAAGCCAAAGTGGGAAGTAACACACCTCACGGAATAAAGCAGAATCAAGAACATGCTCATGCTTCATATCACATATGAATTCAGTGTATTTTTCCTCCCATATTTCACTTCTACATTTCTGAAGTGTGTTGGAATTTTTTTTATCCCTACTGAGTTTTCTATAAGGCGTATATATTTTTTGTGGCTTAATATATTTTGGTATTTTGGATACCAATTCACCAAGTTTGTATTTACTATTTATTAATATATTTGGGTTAAATAAAAGTTCAGAATTTTGTTGGTCATAAAATTCTGGCTTCTTTTTTGCAATACTTGGATAATTTCCTTCTTCCATTACTTCATCGTCCCATTCTTTATCTGATTTGGAGACCTTTAATTTAGAATCATTTGTATTTAAACTATTACTTATGAGTGCATTTTCGTTCACGTTGTAATCCATTACTGTCTTTTCCATTGGACAATTTTCTTGATTGTTTTTTGGGCTGTTGTTCAATTTGGATTCATTTTCTACATTTCGAGAGATTTGATCACTGTGAATGTTATAATTATACAATTTTTCGTGAGTGTCATAAAATTTTCGATTATTTACATATGAATTTGTTAAATAATTCTTGTCATCTATGTTTTCTATTCCTGTTTCGATGAACCTTACAGAATCATTTTCATTTGACTTGTTCCTTTCTGTTCTATTATTTTTTGTTGGAGAATTGCTGATGTAACTTTGTATGTCACCTTTTTCTGTATAATTGCTCAGGATTGAATATCCAAATATTTTTTTCTGTATTAAGTCTTTCTTAATTTTGATTTTGTACATATCCTTATTTTCATGCATATACAAATCATAAAAAATAAAAGTTTGTTTTTCTTTGTTTTCATCAGAAGATAAGCACAAATTAAAGTCATTTAATTTTTTTTTTTTTCTTTCCCTAAAAGTGTAATGATTTTGATAAACCATTCTTTCCTTCTGTATAAATGAGTTTATAAAATTACTCGTATATAAATTTATGTTTTTCGGTAAGTGCAAATTTTTTATGAGAGTGTCTATTTTATCATTGAATGTTACTTGTTCATTTTTCACTTTTTCTTTTTCTGGTTTATTTATTAGGCAAAATATATTATATAAAAACTTCATCGAATGGGGTAATTCGAAACGTACATAATTTCTTTGACGAGAAAATTTATTTGCGTTCGTTAAAATAGCTAGCTGCTCAACTTTTGATTTGGGATTAAAATTGTTTGGGTTATAACCTACATGTACATGCTCATGTAATATTTCTGAAATGTGCAACGATTGCTCTAAAACAGTTTTATCATAGTCATTGTAACTATTTGAAAAGGTGTAAAAAGTTTGATTATTCATGCTTTGCATTTCTTCCTTTATATGAGAATCATTTTCTATTAGGTGAATCTGTGAGTAGTTATTATCTACATATTTATTTTTTTGTAGATTAAAATTTTTACAATTGGGGAAATAATTATTCAAGTAATCCACGTCATCAATGTCGTCACCATATGTATATGCAACATCAACATTCCATGCATTTAATTCTACAAAAGGACAATGTTCATTATAATTTAACTTTAACAAAACAAAGGAATTATACCACAATTCTATTTCTAATATGCATGGGAAATTTGTCCTTATTAGCCAGATGCCTTTTTTCTTGTCTATCATGATAACAGATAATTTGTGTATCTCATGTAAGGGCTCATCCGTTGATATATTTTTTATCATGGAGCATTTTATTAAAAATAATTGCTCTTTATATGTGTTCTTATTTTTACCTTCATTTTTCCAGTCCGTGCTGAAATTATCAACATTTGAATTTGTATTCTTTTCTCCAACAACTACGTCATTATGTGTTAAATTAGAATATGTGAAAATATTTCTATTCTCCTGAGGGTCACTCTTCTTTTTGGAGGTTGTATAACATTTCTCTTCATTTGGAATCACTTCCTTATGGAAGTAGTTTTCTCCATTATTCGAATGATACTGGTCCTTTGGGGTATTTTTACATGATGAATCAGTTGCACCTTCGTCCTTATCGAGTTGTAGATAGTAACTATTTGTGCTCATATTATTTACTGTTATGGGGTTATCAAAAAGCAAATCAAAATCAAGTATTTGACATCTGACAACGAGAATTAATGCTGTTCTAATGGAGAGTGGTTCTAATGAAAATTCCTTTATAATAATATCTGAGATGTTATTCACATTTGAATGTAAACTTAAATTAACTTCCTTGGATAAGGAAGATTTCTGATAATTAATTAAACAACTATAAGATTTTTCATTTGCGAATTTTTTTTTTGATGGATAATAGCTAGCTGGTACAATGTAAAAGCTTGACCCAAGACAAAAGTGAAAATCAGCCATTTGAGAATGTTTAATAGAATTTAAATGGAAAAAATCTTCATAAGCATTATTCCAGTCTAATAGAACATCGGTACATATACCTATTGGAGGAAAAGAACATAAAAAACATAGAGAACCTGTTGGTTTAAAGCTAATGGTTGATATAACATAATCTCTTAAATATCTTCTACCACAAAAATCACATCTTTCAACAAATATATTTCCATGTATTTCGGAAATTTTGGAAAATTTTGTGCCACATCTATAATGTAATGAATCAATATTTTGTGTTATTAAAAATTTTATAATGTTCTTGTTCATTAATTCTTTTATCATGATATGCGTTTTCGTTGGTAGTGCTAAATGTAGGTCTACAACTTTTTTTTTTCTATTCCCAAATATTACATAATTTTCTTCTGACATGCCTTGTTTGGTTACCTCCGATGACTCTCCATCATCCAGCTCGTTTTTTCTACTGTTAATTTTGTCATCTATCCATAGGGATTCCTCGTCAAAATTAACAGTTGGATTTTCATTTTTAATACGCACATGATTGTTTTTTCTTTCTTGTTCATTTTTTCTCCTTCTGCCGTATGAATGGATCGTATCAAAATATTCATTTTTTATTTTGTCAATACCAAAATCATTGTCGCTCCTTTGTGCCTTGTTACTATTATGGTCATTTTCATCCTTCGAATCATTGTCTGAATGTTCATATACTTCCTTATTACAATTATTGAAAGATGTTTTAGGGATAAAATCTGTGTTGTTACAATAAGGTTCCACTTCTACTTTTGTATCCTTTGTGTGATATCCTGAATATTCCTTTGCACCACCTGTATGTACTTTAACAATATTATCACCTTGGTAAGAGCCTTCTGGCCTTACTGTTTTGATAAAATCGAATGGTAATTCCTCTGTTTGGTTAGTTGAACTACGTTTTGTGAGATCATCTGAGTGTTCGTATCTCCCATGCGAGCTTTTTCGTATCTTTTTTGTCTTAATGCTTTGGCTATTATAATTATTATTATTATTATCATTATTGTTTTTCTTAGCTTCTTTATCCTCCTTCACTTCCATCGCTTCTTTTTCCACCACCTCTTCTATTTCCATCATTTGCTTCTTTTCCAATTTTCTCTTTTTTTTATTCTGCCTTTCGGCTAAAAATTCATTTGTCCATATTCCTGTTGGCCCCCTAAAATCCTGTAACCCTGAGCTCGTAGATATACCTGCTCCAACATGTACAACAATATATTCACTTGTTTTTATTTTTTCTATTAATTCTATTATTTTCCTTTTTTCTTCTTCGGAATTTTCAAAGTATTCCTTTTCACCCAAAGGACCTTTGTTTTCGTTTTTCGATAGACGTCGCGCGTAATTCATGCAGCTCATTTTGTCACAAAAGTTGTAAAGCTGCTTGTTGTGTGGATACAACACCAGGAGAGAAGGAATAATAATCCTACGCGTAAAACGTTAAAATGGGTGTTAAAAATCGTGCTTATAAAAACTTTAAAATGTCAAAATGAAATGATATTATAATACAATCATGAGAAAGCACATATTACATTCGTTTGACTAGGTATTATGGTGTTCAGGTTTTTATGCTTATCGTTTTAACATGTCACATGTCAGTCCTACTTCCCTTGGAAGAGGTCGAATTACATATATGTTAAAATAATGATTCAGCAAAATGTCCTGAGTATATATTCTGTGTACTCCACTATTATTGCTAAAATAGTTTCCTCTTGGCTCACTTTTCATGAAACTGCTTAAATTATAAATCGGCAAAGATTTTTTTTTTTTTTTTTTTGTGTGTGTTTCTTCAAAGTTTAGACTATATGAATTTTATACAAATTGAAAATATATTTTTGTATTTCCACTTAATGCCTTTCACAAACTTAGCGTTAGGTAATGAAGTTATATGAGATACTTTTATTTGCAATTACGTTATGACCAATCCTGTTTTATACTGGGGAATTGTCCTCCTCGTTATATGTTTGTAACAATAATTGTAAGAATAATTAAGCGTATGTATAATTATACATTTTTAAGAAAATGCTCAGCTTCCTAAGTGAAACATGTTTTCCCTTCATTTTCACACCGATTAAAAAAATTCGCCAAAGGAACAATACGAGCAAAGGAAATATTACTTGACAGAAAAATAAATGGGATACCAGAATGGAATAATAAAGTAGGATAATAAAATGGGAGAGTAAAATAGGATAGTAAAACAGGATAGTAAAATAGGATAGTAAAATAGGATAGTAAAATAAGATGGTAAAATATAATAATATAAACACTACTTTCGTGTATATGAAAAATGGACTCACATCATAAACTCCTAGTTGAGCCTTTTTTATGTAATATAGAACCTGTTTAAATAATGAATTTCGCGAACTCATACGCTACTAGTTAAAAGCTAAATGGCTAAATATGAATGAGTCAAAGTGGAATCACACTCAGATTTGTTTAGAACCAAATTATTCAATCGAATGCATATCCCACTGGAAATTCATACTCGTTCTTAACGTAAAAAATTATGAATAAAGTTTCTCCTTTTATTCTTAGTTTTGTACGATACATATTAATCCTTTTAAGCATTGGACAAAAAGGGGAAGCAAGATAAGAAGCACAATAACGTGTATACTTCTATTTCGACGTTATGAATTGAATACCTATATATATATGCATAGGTACATACAAATATACACACGCAGAACACATTTTGGAAGTGCATTTTTGCTAATACTCCTTATCAGACAACGATGGCATGACAAAATTGGAAACACTAACTCTTTACAAAAATAACGCGATAAATAATTCGGCATTTTAGTGAGCATTCATTTTGATTAGAAAAATAAAATAAAATAATAATGTTGTGAATAAAATATATGACTTGTAACACAAAGAGGCTAAAGTTGTCTCGTTTCGCCAGAACAGACACACAGAAAAGATAGTTACATAGATAACCTTCTCGCTTTTTTTTTTTTTCAAAAGAATTGCTGAATTGATGTGTGTTCATTGAGACATTGTGGAAACATCTGTATTCTGCACACACACGTTCATTTTGTATACATGCATGTATACATATGCATATATGTGTAACATACCATCGTGTATTTATATACGTCATAAAAGAAACAAATGAAGAATGCCACTTCAGTAGGATTTTCGTAATATAATTTCAAATTGCACACTGTACCAAAAATAAAGTAGGATAGTCACACTGGCTAATAAAAAAAGCTGCAATTAGTGCACAGTTACGTAGGCTGTGTCGAATATGTAGTATCTTTCACAAAAAGAAAAGATATTTTATATTCACAAAAAAAAAAATAATGATGTAAAAATAACTCCTTGCCCGTACAACAGTTAAAAAATATAAAAAGAGTACAAAATAAAGTGCCCAAGTGGAATACATCAGAATTTGTCATTGACTTACTCGACGAAGTCAAATCCTTTGTTCTCTGTAAAAATAAAATAAATGTGATAATATAGGATCGGCACGCTGTGGTTAATCTCTGCATATATATATATATATATATATTCATCCACAGCTACCAAAAAACAAAGATCTTTCTTTTTTTTTTCCTTTTTTTTGTCTCATTTTTCGTTAAACCATCATTCCTAAGGTTAATGAAATATTCCTTCGCCTCCGATATGTTGTCCCGGAATTTTTTATACCTAAGTGAGTTTAAAATATATATGTATACTTATATTCCTGTGGACATTTGAACTTATTTAAATATTTTACCCAAAATATTAAAACTCCCCTGAAGCAATTAAAGCTGTCAATAAGCTACAACGTGCTTTATCGGGTCAAATCACGATTGGGAAACCTTGCATGGTGGAGAAATTCATAATCCGGATGTAGACTATTTTTGTAGACCTTCTTTTTGCAAGCTGAAATGGAAGAATTTAACAAATAAGGATTGAATACATTAAGAAAAAAAAAAAAGGATTATGCAAGATGGTGTGTATGGAAAAATGCGTTTAGCATTCAATGGTATATAAGCATGTAAACATAAGACGAAAAAAGTAAAATAAAAAATAAAATAATGAGAAACCTGCTATTGGACATTCGATTGTGTCTTTATTTTGCCTAAATAAAAATATGTACATATATATATATATATATATATATATATATATATATATATATATATATATATATATATGATGTAGCCAATTAAAGTACATTCCGATATATGCCTTATCTTCCTTTATTTTTTTTTTTTTTTTCCAGTAAATTAGACTTACATCAATCTAAGTATGAACGATTTCTCAAACGTGTGCACACAAGCTTTCCTATTTTTGCTAAATCTGAAATTGAGTTGATTATATAAAATTGTTCAATCAATTAACGTTATAAATAATAGAAATTTTTATGAAATTGCGTGAGGGTAGTTGATCTGCACCTATACTTGTGTTTTCATGTTGCAAATATTTTGTGGAGAATTTACACCACAAGTCGCTTGCATAATTCTGAAAAAAAGGAACATATTGAAATGCATATTGTTACCGTTGCGTCACTGGGTTCTCAAAAGGCATTTGTGATATTGGGCACTTTGTAGGAAATACCCCAATTTCTTCATCCACTACTAGTTCATCTTCATCGTCATCTTTTTGATTTTTTAAATGAAACTTGGAAAAATTAGAAAGGAAATATAAAAATGGATTGAAAATATAATCAAAGAACGTTATAATCAACTGGATGATCAGAAAAACAGGGCACGAAATCTAGAAACAAAGGCAGTGCTGATAATTTTATTTTATTTTATTTATTTTTTTTTTTTTTTCATTTTTTTGTATCACTACCCGTGCTAATCTAGATATATCCTTTTCGTCCGTTTGATTTCCTGAAATAATTGCAGAGGAAATACCATAAAGGTTGCCACACAAACTTAATTTATTATACACTCAATTTTGAAAGAAAAATCGATTCACAATTTTTGCATTAATAATGGCATAATATTTCAATTTGTTACATTATTTTGATCTATAAACATGAATGTATTTATTCAGACATAGGAAGTTATAGATGTAGGACATTTATGCACATATGCATAAAAATGCTACTTGTGCTTTTTTTTTTTTTTAGTACATTGCGGTAAAAACTTCTCATACCTTGTAATTTAAATTTCACATATCTGTTAACGAGCTTCAAAAATGACGCATCAATATTTAATTCGTCTGATGATTAAGAAATGTAAAAATGAAATATTGACAATATGACTGTGTTTTATGATATGTAACGGATATGTCCATAGGACACCAAAATGGGGAAAGACATTATAAGGTGTTGATTGCAGGAGACACGATTGTCATCTATTTTTTGACTATAAAATGTGTTTACCTGATCCTGAAAGAAAATTCGTAAATATATGGGAATAATTTTTAAGCATATGAAAAGGTTATAAATGTTGAAAGTGTTACAAATGTTAACACTGGAAAAAAAAAAAAAAAAAAAAAAAAATATTCCATTTTCATTTTAATGATCATTTACGAAACTTACGAAAATATTTAATCGAAAACAAAATGTTATATAGACTCTTCTGCAAAGAATTATGGTATTTCTGAATTTCTGTGGACGGTATATATTCTTCTTCATATTTGTCTAGGCTGTCCCAAATGTTCTTGAAGCTCGGGATCTGCAGAAGGTTTAATTAGCAATGGATTAACTTGTTGGCGTTTATAGTAATGTAAGAGTGAGAATTTAATGCAGAGTTCTGTTATGTTTCATATTTACAAGATCTTCCTCTGTTAATTCATCTTCGATGTTTGTTCGTTCCTATGGATGGTGTTAAAGCAGTTGGAGTGGTAATGTCTTGCACATATAAATATACACGTATGCACATATGTGTATATATACAAATCGTTAGATGTCCCCATTAAGCTATAATTGTTTATTTGCTTATTTGACTATTTGTTTATTTATTTAATTATTTATTTTTCACTCCAGAAGTTGTACCTCCTTTGACGAATCTCCTTGTTCGAACATTGTGGATACAATCTGCTTTCTCCTTTGTTCTAGTTTATCTTGAATGGATTTTTTTTTTTTTTTCTGTTTACCATATGGTTTAGTGCATATGTGCAGAATATCATTTATATGCCAAAATTTTTTATTAAGCAGATAGTTAAAAACGTAAATTGTCACTTGTAATTTTAATTAGTATAAAATAAAAACATAAAAAAAAGTATATGATTTTTATTTTTTTTTTTTTTTGTTGTTGTTGCATTTTACACATGTGTCTTTGTCGTTGCAGCGGTATACAGTTTAATCATTCTCCGTAAATATATTCGGTTTTTTACATTTTCAAAATTTCTTTTAAATATATATTTTTAAGCATAACTTACGTGTTATTTGACTATACTGTGTGCAAGTGCCAAATGAATAAATAACTATATTGAATGTTGGCATGTATCTGAGCACACTAACATATGCGTTATATACAAATTCACAAGGTATAAAAATATGCTTTGAAAAAAACTTGGCCGTATGTTACATATGTATATATATATATATATATATATATAAATACATATACACACACATGTATGCCCAAATTTAAAAAGCTTTCCCAGGTTCTTGCACTAAGCTTGCTAGATTTTTTATGAAAAAAATACTATTACACACTTTATCATTTATTTTCTCATTATATTAATTTTTTCCTTTTTCATAACCCCGCCCAAACAAGAAGTCGCTTAAGCGCAGAATAGGCAATAAGCACAAGAATTATATTCTCAAGCTATTAATGCCTTAATTGTTTTTCGACAAACTAAGATTTGACTTTAATGTGAAGATATATAGAAGAGTCACTGTATATTAGAGCTTTTATAACTATCCAAATGTGATTAAAATTATTCGGTATACAATTTTGTAACCACTATATTTTTTTTTCATATGTTTTTCTGTGCATGTGAGGTTATATTTCCTCTTAAGATACTAAATAACCACATGCACAACTAGCATGCTGTCTCAAAAAAGAAAAAAGAAGAAAAAAAGGAGCGCTTTAATGAAAAAATGATTAGAACAATTTTGCCTACACCGAACAAGTTTGCTTAGCATGAAGAATAAATCAATTTTATGCAAATGGTCTTTTAATTTCCTGCGCGCAAGAAGTACAATAATTTTCGTTCTTTATTTTATTTTTTTATAAAAATTAAAGTAAAAAAAAAGAAAAAGAAAATATTTAGCAAAACGGAAACACCAGTTAACATATAACTGTATAATCACATTAAGAAAATAGAATTTTATAAATAAAGCCTTTAAAAACACTTTTTTAAGAACATACAAAATTTAATAAATGCTATAAAATTAACTGAGATATGTAAACAACTCTTAAGAGAAACTTCCTCCTCTCCCGCCTTTTTTCCCAATTCTGCCCAACTTTTCTTCATGCTACAACGTAAATGGATTTTATATAAGTTGTCATTTTTTGTATAACAGTTTTCGAGAAAACAAGAACTTAATAAACCTTTCTGCACAACTTTTATTTGTTCTTTGATTTGTTCCAAATTTTTCAGATTTTTGTGAATTGTGCTTATTATTGAATTTTTTTTTTTTTTTTCTTACTTATATACACCGCTTCATGGTAACATTGATTGTGGTTTTTTTTTCAGCAAGTGTACCTTTTCAGCAATAAGATAATTAAAACATGTTCACACATATGCATATATATATTGCGTGGAAACATATTCGTAGCATCAATATAGTGGAGACATTCACCATTTTCGCATAAAAATGAACCATGCTATATATATGTAGAATTTATAAAAGAGGTATATATATGTGTACATGTGTGTGCATAAACAAGGTTACTATTCTGTATTTAAAAAAAGCAAAAACGAAATAAATATACGTGTATATACCAATCTTGGCATGGCCTTTGCTTACTAAATTGGGAATAAGAAAGGGGATATTATAGACACACTTATCTGCACATATATTTATTATGTACATGTATTCATGAACAGCTGTTATGTATATAATAAGAACCTACTTTGTGCATGCATTTGTATCTGTAAAAACGTAAACATGTATATGCTCTGTATACATATGTATCTACGTTTCAAGACAACTGAAGGTGAAAATTTATTTTTTTGAAAACAAATTTTACGTTCACCAAAATTGAAACGTTAAAATGTTGTTCTTTCCTCCTCTAATTTGCGTTGTCATGTATATTATTTTTCAAATTGCATATTCAAAAGTGCAATATATGCAAGTATTATATACATGTAAGACATAAATAAACATTTATATATACCCCGCCACTAAATTTAACGCTTTGTGGTTTATCCATTTTTTTTAGCATCACACCGAGTAAATATTACTCAAGTCTCTAAAAAAAAAAAATATAAAATAAATTATTTTTAAAGCATAGATTAAAATTATGAATGTACAACATAAATAAATTTAAGATACACATCCACCTTATGTAGTCTTTCTTAAATTTTATTCAAAACAAATTGTTCCACAATTATGTCGTAAAAAGTAAATATAAATATTATAAAAAAAGGGGGAGAAAATAAAAAAAATTCATTTTCAGCTGTACCACATGAAAAATATACTTTTTATAAATTAATTTTTCATATATATAACAATATCTACAATAATATACATTAATTTATATACCTACTTAATTGTACTTGTAAATTCATGCAATTTATATATATATATATATGTATTGATGTACTATAATATCGCTGTCATTACTAAAATAAATTTTTATATATATTAAGTCTACAAACAAAGTAGTACTAATATATTTTAAAGGTACGCATATTTTTTATATAAAAGTATTAAAAGTATGCATACAAAAGAACGCATAATAAAAAGATAGAATAAAATAAAAAACTGGATGGTGGTTGTAATTATAGCAATAATGACCTTAATGGAAGAATAAAGGCAGCATTCAGAACAGCAAAGAGCAAGGATAAAAGATTTAGAGTAAAATATTTAGTATTTTATATATATTTCAAAATCAGGTACGACAACTTACATATAAAAAAATAAATATATTATAATAAAAAAAAAAAAAAAAAAAAAAAAAAAAAGGTACAATTTTTTCGTCACCACCGTTTAGTTTATATTTATAATTTAGTGCATAAATAAACATGCTGCAATATTATTATGTTTAGCGCACTAATATGCTAATAAAATAGAAATTATATATTATTTTTTTTTTCTTTTTGTGATTTTTGTTTGTATCGTATATTATTATAAAAGTACATATATGAGTAAGTCTTTGTTCAAATGTATTAATATATTCATATGTATACATATCATATACATATATATTTGTGCGTAGAGCAGCGGTACGTATTTTACTATATTTAGAGTAGTAGTTATTACATGTAGAAAGAGAAGAAAATATATTATAAACTATATATATACATAATTGATGATGATGCAATTTTTTTTTCGTTATAATTTTTTAGTACTGGATACTCTATACATGTACCTATAACCGTACATATGTAGTACATATAGGTATATATGCATATCTATATATGAACGTACAAGACCCTACCAAAATTGTACTTATTTTTATACTGCAGCAAATAAAAGTAAAATTTTGAAAAAATGCTTATAGAAAATTTTTATCCCTATTTATATAGCATGTACATACAGTACAGTAATATTTTTTTATTTATATGAATATATGAATTTTTTTTTTTTTTTTTTTTTTATTTCTAGCATATTTAATATATTTCGTCTATTATTAAAAACATAATTTGAGTATAGAATTAATTTGTCTATAGCGTAAATAATAAAAAAGTATATAGGTATATATTTATATATTTTATACAAAATATATATATACATATTTCAGTTTTCTGAAATAAATAATACATGACAAGTTGCGCAGCTGTACGCAATTTACGCAGCCAAAGTAAATCAATTTACATTTGCATTTTAAAAGCCTCGTCTACTCTTTAAAACTGCTTTATGAGTAGTAGTGTTGGCATTATCTATCTGATTTATTTGTCCATTTTTTAAAAATTATAATTACATACTTTTTGAAAAGTACCAATTCGAGTACGTGTTTTCCATGCATTTTTTTCTTAAATAGAGGAAAAAAAAAAAAAAAAAAAAAAAAAAAAAGGGCATAATAACCTTCAATATGCACGCCTTTATTTATTTTTTTTTTTAAAAAGCTTTGCTGTTTCTTACCATAAACACTTGAATGAAATTCTTAAAGTGTGATGTTATAATACAAGAATGCAAATAAAAACGTTTGGAATATAATGTATGAATTCGTTTATTGAAGGAAAAATTAGACGATTATTATTGTTTAAAATTTTAACATTTGCGCGTATATACATATGTGTATATGTTCGAATGAATACTTAATTTTTTTTTTTTTTTTTTTTTTTTTACCGAGCTGAATGATCTATATTTGCTCCAAGCAGTCATAACCATTTAAATGCATGTTGAATTATAATAATTTTTTCATTACTATTTGAATAGACAAAGAAACAACAAAAAATAACGATGATGAGGAGGTGATTCTACTAAAAGTCATATATGGTAGTAATATCAGAAGTTTACATATATCGAATAACTGTAAAATGAGCTTGAAAAATGAAGTAAAAACTAAAAATACAAAAACTAATGTTAACAATTTGAGTACATACAACAAGGGTTCACATTTTAACCGTTTAACGGTTGTTGAAAATGATCATATGGGAAGCAGAAGCAACGCAATAGAATCAAGAGAAGAAAGAATGCACAGAAGAAATAGAAATGCACACATGAATGCTCCTATTAGAAGTCATAATGATTGTATAGACAACGATAGAAATAGCATTGATTTTAGCCAAGGGGGTGATAATGACTTGAATAGGAATATTATGGTAAACCAAGACACATTGGAATGTAGTAACCAAAATAAAAAACTATGCACGCAAATAGATTCTGAAAGTAGACTATATGATACTGACGAAAAAATTATTGAAAATATTATTATCCCACAAAATGGTAACAATAATCCAGATGCAAATCCAAGTACAAAAATAAATTCAGATCAAAGAAGGAATGAAAAGGATTTAAGTGTGGATAATAATAAGGATCAAAATGAAACACATAATACACATGATGGTAAGGATGGTAATATCATCCAAAAGAAAAAAAGATTTATGAATAATGAACATAAAGAAGGAGAAGTGGGGAAAATAGAAGAAAATCATGATGATAAAAATTCAGTTATACAAGAATCAGTAACAGTTACCCCTAAGAGATCCAGAAGAAGACCCATAAGAAACTACAAATATGATATGTTCTTTCAAGAAGATAGTACAAGAAGTATAGAGGGGAATAATAGGAAAAAGAAAAAATTGGAACTAGAAAAAAACCTAACAGAAATTTCCGAAGAAAATTATTCTTATAACGAAAATAATAGCTTTGAAAATAATGATAACAAATTAGCAACTGAAATGAGTGTAAGTAATATCCAAAATGAAGAAATGTTTGAGGAAGAAACTGTTAATAAAAATGCTAACTTAAAATCTGTCATACATTTGAATGAAAATGTACTTGTTCAAAAACCAGAACATTACTACTGCAATGTTTTAGGAAACGATGTATTAGCTGATACGTCAGAAAAGGTCTTAACTAATTTTTGTAGCCCACATGTTAATAAACCCATGACAGATAGTAATAATAATGTATGTAGTAGTACTCCTACTGCTGGTACTTCTGTAGTAAGAAGCTGTAACAATAGCTACGATTTATCTCCCATTAACCCAAAGCAGGAGATCGAAAAGGATGAAGATACGAGGGAAGTAGAAAAAGATCACGTAATGGTAGAAAATTTCCGTGAAACTATTGCACTTAATATGGGAAGAAGTACTTCCTTGCGTCATTTTGGAAGAGGAAAATATCACAGAGGTAGAGGTAAAGGAAGAGGTAAAGTAGGGCGAAGAAGAGGCAGAAGATTTCTTACAGGTAGCAGGATGGGAAGCTTTGAAAAATCATATAGCATTAATAACGACTTTACGTTAAATAACGTGAAAAGTGCATTTCCTAGAGTAGCAGAGGAGGAGGAGGAGAATGTGAATATTAACACAGTTAATGAGGTCATTCAGACGCAAGGTGTAATAGCAATACCACCCGTACCCTCCCCCCCTGTTGAGAAGAAAAAAAGAGGAAGAAAAAAAAAAGTACACAACAATATTGAAAACAATGTGGTTGATATAAATATGAACGATATTGCAAATGGAAATAATAATTCAACAAATATTATTATATCAGATATCAATATTAGGACAAGGAGAAGTGACTTGTCTTATCAAAAGAACAAGGAATCATGTGATGTAATTTCTACTAATTTTCAGATATCTGATAATATGCAATCCATATCACAAGATACATTAATGCCTTCTCTGAAAAATTCCAAAATTGACATAAGTAGCAATAGTGTTATCAGAACCTATACACCTGGAAGAAGAAGGAGAAGAAAAAGAGGAAGAAAAAAGGATGTAAAAAGTACAGAATCGTGGTGTAATACCAACGACCCATCCATTACTACGTCGACTACTGGTGCTATTTCTTCCAATTTGGCCAATTCTAGTATTCCTATGCAAGATGCCAATATTGGTCATTCTGAACAGCCAGAATATATTTATGGTAGAAATGTAAGGAAAAAAAGAGGTGGGGCAAGAGGTAGATGTAGTGGTGGTAGGGGTAAACCAAGAGGTCGTAGACCCGCTTTAGTTAGCATGCCAAATAACATATCAAATTATAAGAATGGTATTTCTAATGCGTTATCTGTGAATGAAGATGGTGGTAGTACAAGACATGACAACAATAGTAATAACGAGTACGAGAGTGATAATAAAAGACTTTTTCCAAATGAGACATTTCAAATTAAAGAAGAATTTATGAATAATGTAAACAGTCTGAATACAGTATTTAATTTTAATGATGAATTTTTAAGATTTTTGAAAAAAGTTAGCAAAATTGATGACATTGATTATGACATTATGCTGTCCTTCTTAGGAGAAGTTCAAGTAAAATTATCGGATAATATTAAACAAGAATTTTCCACGGAATGCTTAGATTCACATAATGTAGATGAAGCTGTATATGTTATGGGATATATAGTAGACATATTAAATAATAATAATGAAATATTAAATAAGCTGAATCAGTTAGAATATAAATTTTATTATGATTATTTGCGGAATAGATCATCTATGGAAAAAACCAGTAAAAATAATTATGGTCGTATAGAAAATAAAATAGCTTTAAACATTGCTCGTATTTCTAGAGATATGAATAATGAGTGCTGTGGAAAAATACAAAGTAATGACCTAGATGATGATGATGATTATAATACTGGTAATAACGAATCTAGCAAAAGTTTTAATGAAATTGATGATGAGGAAGAAAGAAAATTAAATGAACTTCTCTACTGTACTAATAAAGTAACAGATGGTACGTACAAAATCCCGAATTGTGCAGATATGTATTTTATGAATTACAATGAAGAAGATGATTTTTATCATATAAATGAACGAAGTTTAAATATAAAAAATGATTATACTAGTTTTCTGCATCAGTCCAACACAGCCGAAGACAAACCTCACAGTGAAAGCAGTGTAAACCTTCCTGAAAGTTCTTATCAGCATCCACCTTGTACCCGAACTTCAGAAGAGGTACAACAAAATTTGAAGGAGAATTACAAGGGACACGTTAACATGCAATGTGATGATGAAACAAACGCATTAACGCATGATGTGAAGAAGTTACCTGATAAAAACTTAACTAGTGGCAATATCTATTTGAAAGGTAGGAGTATAATAAGTAACTTGGATGAAAAGGAAATAAAAGAGGGAAAAGACGAAGGAGGAGGAGGAGATATGGCAATAGGAAATGAAGATGTGCAGAAAAATACACATCATAATGAAGAAAATGAAAAAATTAACAAAGAAATAAAAAATAATCAAAATGAAAAAAATATTAACAAGAAGAATGATCTTCAGAATAATTATACACAAAAAATGATATATCAAAATAAAGTCGATTTTGTATGTGATGAGTTGAATAAACTTATAAAACACACACTAAAAAATGAAAATATATTTTATTCGAATTATTCACAGGGTAGATATAAAAATGTAACGGAAGAAAGTTTATATAAAAATTACATTTCTACGAAATTGTATAAGAGAACGAATTTGATTGATAGATGTAGCGAGGAACTGAATGAGAATCTTACAAATCAAAGGTTATTTAGAAACAGGCAAATGAATGGGGTTGAAAGTGTGAATAGAAATGTTGACGAGCGAGAAAAAACATTGATGCAAAATTATGCTGATTATTTTAGGAGATTGAACAATGTTCCCAGGAGTGAAAGACGTGACCTCATCTATGAAAATGATGAAAGTGACCATAAAAAGGTAGGAGGTTACGCAAGTGCTAAAATTAGCAATGAACAACCTTTCCATTATGCTCTCGGCCAAGCTGAAGCAAAGTCCCATCCTAGTGGTATAATTATAGCACCGACAGGAGCAGCAGAAGTGGAAGAAGCAGCAGAAGTTGAAGAAGTAGCAGAAGTGGAAGAAGCAGCAGAAGTAGAAAAAGCAGCAGAAGTTGAAGAAGTAGCAGAAGTAGGAGCAGAAGCAGCAGAAGCAGCAGAAGCAGCAGAAGCAGCAGAAGCAGCAGAAGCAGCAGAAGCATCCAATTTGGAAATAAAAATGTTCCCTGAAGGAGATGCAAAAATGGACACCCCTTTTGAGGAAAACAGCGGGAGTAATATTCATTTGAAGGCAAAGCAGTTAAGCAACGATAGCAACAATATCAGCATAGTAAGTAGTAACATTGGAGAAATTTTCAGTTGTATTTCGATTCATGATAGTGAAGATGTCACGTTAGTGAATAAAAGTGGGGGGGGACAACATGAGGATGCAGATATAAAAAATGTATGTGTAAATTTACAAGTTGAAGTAAAAAGAGAACCAAATGAGAAGGAAGAAAATGATGAAAACAAGGATCGCTATTTGGATAATAATAAAATGAATGATTTAAATAACAACAAACATTTTGATAAAGGACAAAAATGCATATTAAATAAGGAGGAAAATAAGCACAGTGAAAATAACCAAAATGATGCAATACAGAAATGTTACGAACATAAGAAAAAAGTATCCAGAATTTCAAGCATTATTCCCTTTTTTAAATTAAATTTAAAGATAAATGAACAAAATCGTAATAATATTGATAACAAGGATGATAATAATAATGATTATTATGATCGGGTTAAGAAAGAAGATGAACAAACTGGAAATAATGAAACCAGATTGACTTCAAGTGCATATTCCAAGGATGATGGTAATGAAAGCTGTGAGAAAGGTGTACCATCAGATAAAGAAAAATTAGGTGGAGGGAATGCAAATTCTTCGAGGACAACAGAAAATGAGAAAATTAAAAATTGTAACTCAATTGAAGGTAACTCATTAGATATTTCAAATCCCAACGAAAAAGAAAATATTGTTAAAAGCACAACGGATGTATTGTCTCGTTACAATAATAACAGTTTGGGCGATTCTCGTATGCCAAAGAAAAGGCGTGCACATGTTTTGAGGAATATAAATGAAGCATGTGAGAAGAATATCGACGTCTTACTAAAAGAAACATTTCATTTAAAGGATGACGAATTTAAGAATATGACAGGGAGTAGAACACAGAAAGAAATTTTAAGCTGTTTGAGAATGGTGTCTCAGATTAAAAAAATATTTTTTGATGAGTGCACGAAAATGATTAATGACCAGATTTATGTCCTAGAAAAAAATTTTAGGATACCTGATTGTTCCTTGTCTGTATTGAAAAATTCATTCGGGTACAATGATAATAAGTGAAGTACGGACTTTTTCTTTTTTTTTTTTTTTTTTATTTTATTATATTTCATTATATTTCATTATATTTCATTATATCTCATTACTTTTTTTAAAATGAAGTTTTATTTTTTATTGCTTTTGAATTAATTTTGTACCGTCATATGAAATAATAAAATATTTCTTTATTTTCTGCATATCTAAACCTTTTAAATATAACACCCCCGTGAATAAAAAAATTTCCCCTGCCTTTTTTGCAACTTCCCTTAATGACCTGATTTCGAACAGTCCCTATGAACATGCCTCTTTTCGAGAAATTAACGACGCTTCCATTGAGGGAAATTAAAAAAAAACAAAACAAAACAAAACAAACACACATGTACTTATAGACACACACACAAAAAAACGTGTATATATTCTTGCACAAATTTATTGTGCTCAAGAATAACACATACTTATCTACAATTATTACTTTAAAAAATGTAACAAAAATTGTTTTTTATTTTTAAAAAGTTCATATTCTTTATCATGGTAATGTTACCTTAAAGGGACTGTTAACTGATCGTACCTACATAGGGCCTTTTGTCATTATCCATGGCACATCCATATTCCAGTTAAATATCCTTCTTAGGTTGTAACATTTTACGTAAGAAAGATGAAAATGATTAAAATGGAATGTTTTGTATAAGTGGGGTAAAGAGCAAATGTCAACCTTATTCATTTTACACATGACGAAAATGCTAAGAAAAATAAAGACGTCTTTCGCATTTTTTCTCAAAAAAGCACACATTTTCTTAGGAATAATGTATATATTGCTATGCTATCTCAATAGGGAAATTTTATTTGGTAGATGAATATGCGAATATAAGAAAAAAAAAAAATAATCCCATTTTACCTTTTGGAAGGATATTTTTATCTAGTCTGTTCCACATTTTGCACTCTCTCTGAGATATTTGTAGAAATATGGGAGAAACTCACATGCCATTTGTTTCTTCTCTTTTCGGCCATTGTTATAATATATCCTACCACCACCTCATACCCCTTTTGTTGACACGCGAATATTCCACATGCATGCAATGTACTTAAATATGTGATCATAGGATATGCAGCTCTCCCTCTCTTACGACTCCTGTTACAATACGGAATCCTTTGTAATGACGAAAAGAGAATATAAATTTACTGAAATTAAAAATTTGTTCTGATCTGTTTAAAATAATACATAGGGTTTAGTTTATCCACATGGAAAAGTAAAGAATTGACGTTATAATAACGCATAAAAAGATATTACAATGTACTGTTGTTGTTGAGTGGGATATTTATAAAAAAAGGAAATGGAATATATCTGAACAATGTGCATAAAAAAAATGAGTTAAATTCTTTTTTTTTTTTTTTTTTTTTTTTTTTTTTGTATGTGTGTATGTGTTCAACTTGATGTGATAATGTACGAGGATATATTATACTGCAGATTCGATGGTGTATTAAGTAAAAGCAGACGGGTGATAAAGCACTCATGTGTACAAGCATATTTACACATACGTGTACATATATATATATATATATATATATATATGCAAGCTTGTGTGTATGTATATGGTATACGCATGGATACGTAAGATGAACACACCTACACCATTTTAACGCCCAAGTGTGTATAAAACTTCCACTTTGTGTGCCGAAATTGGATACTTGTGTCTGTCTTTATTCCATCCTCGGACACTTCTCCAAAATAATACGAACACTATGACTTGTCAATCTGGAGCACAAAATGAAAAAGCATTTACAACTTATCCAAGTAATTGTCTAACTGTGGCATTTCGACTTTAATACCCTTTCTTTCTCTGATGTTCATAATAATTTTGTGGGAATTTTTATTTGAGTCAAATGGGTCATCATAAAGAACAGACCAATGATCAAAGACACATTGGGGAAAAGCTTGTCCTGATGTAGCGGCTCTTAATGCAGAAGTGAAACCAAATGATTCTGCAACAGGTAGATGTGCTTGTATTTTTAATAATGGGGTACCTAATTTTTGATCTTCAGAAATGACAATACCTCTTCTTTTGTTTAATACAGAATAAACACCACTTACAACATCTTGAGGACAACTGATATCGACAAGGTAAATGGGTTCTACTAATCTGGGTACAGCAGTTAATTCACATGCATATATACATTTCTTACAAGCAGGCATAATTTGCCCAGCACCTCTATGAATAGCATCAGCATGCATATGAACATCTAACATTCTGAATTCACAACCTCTCATATTTTCTTCACATAAGACTCCCTCTTTTGATGCCCATTGGAATGCTGCTACACAATGTACCTTTATTTCATTCATATATTGAATTCCACTAGTATTATCAGTTAATAAATTAGGGCCAATTGTTTCAGGTCCGAATGCCCAGATTTTGAGTGCAAGGTTTTTGTCCCACTGGTAATTACTATGTAAATAATTTGCCCTAGCTTTAGGATCATCTTTATCTGATACTTTATTTTTGTCAATATCTTCAGGTAATCCTTCTGCCAATGGAAAAGCTTTCATAAAAAGACGGTTATGTTTGTTTGGTGATTTTCCTAAACACGTAATAGAAGATTCTTCAGTAACAGTTTCTCTGTATGAAACAACTGGATCTGAAACAATAAAATCGATTTGTGCATATTCATCTTTTAAATCTTTTAAACATATTTCAATATGTAATTCACCACAACCTGATATAATGTGTTCTCCTGATTCGTCAGTTTGACATAAGACTAATGGATCTGATTTTGCTAATTTTTTAAGACCATCAACTAATTTTGGTAACTGTTTACTATCCTTTGGTTTGACAGCGACACGAACAACTGGTGAGACACTATATTTCATATCAGCTATATTATGTGCTTCTTTAAAAGTTGTAATAGTACCTGATTTTACAATATATTGATCTACTCCTACCAAACAACATGTATTTCCACATGGTACATCTTGCACTTGTTCTGTATATCTACCCATCATTAAAACTGTTCTTTGGATATTCTTTTCATATAAATCTGTTTTTTCTCCTGGTACATAATGAGGACCTTGGATTCTAACCTTCTGACCGGTTGCAACAGTACCTGAAAAGACACGACCAAATGCATAAAATCTTCCTTTATCAGATGTAGGAACCATTTTTGATATATACATCATTAAAGGACCATTGGGATCACAATTACGTATTGCATTTGCTGCTTCATCATCCATAGGACCTTCATATAAATTTTCTACACGATATTTCTGGGCTGTTGCTGGGGATGGCAAATGAGTAACAATCATTTCAAGTAAAGTATCTCCTGCTGGTAACCACAACTGCATTGCTTTTTTTAGCAACTGTTTTCCTGTTAACATTTTATCATCTCCTTTTAATTCTACTCCAATATTTGTTAACATTTTTGTATATTTTTCCTTATCATCATTCATAATAGATTGGCATAAATTTAGAATTGGTTCCATAATGAATTGACAGAAACCTCTTTTATATCCTTCTTGTTGATTTTTTGACCACTTCTTCGTTTTGGCATCATAAAAACTGTTACCCCATAGACGTTGCATCATTTTGCTTTTTTCAATACCAAACTTTTTGGAATAAATTCTTGAAAATGTTTCTAATGTAAATGCCCAGCCTTGTAAACCTGATCCAAAGGAGACTGTTCCTTTTTCTGGATACACTTGAATATCTCCCATGAGCTTGTCAGTGTACGTGGAAATAATAACATTTACACTTTCAATTGTTCTGGCAAATGTTTGATAAATATCTTCTACTTCCATTTGTAGTTCTAATAAAGCTCTGTCTACCTTGTTCACATGCAATACGGGTTTAATTCTTTCACCTAATGCTTGATATAGAACAGTTTCTGTTTGAACACACACACCTTCAATAGTATCTACCACAACTAATGCACCATCCGTTACTCTCAACGCTGCTGTAACTTCTGATGAAAAATCAACATGTCCTGGTGAATCAATTAGGTTAATAAGAAAAGGTTTCTTTCCTTCTCCATCTTCCAAATCGTGTTCAAAATACATGGAAATACCTGTCGATTTGATAGTAATACATCTTTCTTGTTCATCTTGCCTGGTATCTGTAAAACGAGCATCTCCTGCATGTTTGCTAGATATAATACCAGCTTTTGAAACCAACGAATCTGTTAAAGTTGACTTTCCATGATCAACATGTGCTATAACGGACATGTTCCTAATCTGCTTGGTTTTGTTCATGATCTCACGAACCTGATCAACTGTGAAATTCACCATTTTGTTCTATCTCTCTTTGATTTATGTATAAAAATGGAGCTTTTTTTTTTTTTTTTTTTTTCTTCGATCTTTTTTCTCTTTATAAGTAGTATGCGTAATATAAGTATCTGCTTAAATGTGTAACTTTATTCGTTCTTCGACTTTTTACTTTTTTTTTTTTTTTATTTTTATCCCTTACGAGATACCTCTCTATATATAAATGTATATATATGTGTAGGGGAAACAAAATGTACAATATACAATACTTTATTTGTACACGAGTTTAAGCTCTCTGTTAATATATAAGTTAAAACAAGCACATGTTAATTTTTAGTGTCACGTTTATTTTTTTTGGGGGAAGCTGTACATACAGGTGTAATATGCATAAGTTGTTTTCTTTTACACACGTTCTATAATTAAAAGGTATATAAAGCATTTACATACTTTTATTTTATTATTATTTTTTTGGTATATAATGATGTGCTTGCTTCCTTGAATACTCAAGTATTGAAGTTACATTTATTTTCTACTCGCAAAATAAACGTGGTACATGAATGAATGGTAATATATATATGTTTCTCAAAAAAATTCCCAAAAAATTTATTTTTTTTTAAAAAACATTTACAATCTTGCACTTTAATAGTGTTATCTTCACAAGCTTAATATACCTACATTTTCTTTCTTTTATTATATTTTTTAAAGATAAGCGAATAATGTGTTAAAATGTATCTGTTACTTATGTTTGTTCTTGTGCATACGTGTACGCTTGTGTATACTTTTTATGCTTGTGATTTTTCCTTTTTTTTTTTTTTTTATTTTTTTATATCAAGATGTATTGAAATGCGCAGTTGCTTCTTCTCGTAAGAGGTGAATGAAACCATGTGTATATAAATATAAATTGGTGTATGTTTTTATTTTATTCAATCATTACATTATTTGTTAAAATGCAATATGTAACAGAAAAATATGCAAAAAAAAAAAAAAAGTATAAAATAAAAACAAAAATAACCATTAAGTGCGTGTATTACTTTTATTATACCTGTGGGTCAGGTTTTATAATAAAATAAGTACCTTTTTAGGGTATTGCAAAAAAAAAAAAAAAAAAAAAAAAGCTAAAAAAGGTATAACCAACCGAATAGGGGGGTATTATAATGATTTTTATTCTTTTTATTTTTATTTTGAGTTTTCACATTTGTGTTATATTTTATATATTCACAAATTTTCTTCTGCATACATATCACATGGGTTACAATCACATCATAATGCCATGTGAAACCGAAAAAATACATAAATGGCTAAATGTTATAAGTAATAAAAATATGTAGCAATTTTATAGCTGTAAAAATGCACAATACAGGCAGTGCGGATTATTTACATTAGAAAATTATATAGCATTTCCAATATAAATTTCCTTCTTTCCACTTTTTCACCCTTTTCTCAAAACATTGACATAAGTAGCCGCCTTTTTAAAAAGTTCGAAAATCAAATGATCGTAAAAAATACGCGCCTTTATATATTTTTTGTTCATACGGCGCACAGCTTATAACTTTGCCTATTTGTATTTCCTTAAAGTGCGTTGTTTTGGGAAAAAATGAGAAGAAAAGTATGCTTGTTGTGCACCATGTGATATTATAGCAAAGCGCTCGAAAGCAAAGCACGTGTTAAAAATACCAATAAAAAAAAATACATGTGAAAAATCTATACATATTTGTGCATATATTGTGATATAACATGTATTAAGAGTATATATGTATAATAAATGCGCATATAATTGAGCCGCAAACGCACAATGTGCAAATACACCTTTTACGTATCACTTATCTGGTTAAAAGGATAAACAATTATCCGTTTTTTTTTGTTCCTTCCCCAAAGAAATTGAACTAAGATAAATTTTTTCCTACAACTTTTGTGCATATTACCTGGAGCAGAAACTGCATTCCATTTTAACCTCTTATAACGACAACATTTAGCAATTTAAGGGTAAGAAGAAAAAAAAATATAGTAAGAGAGAAAAAATATATACGTAGTAAAGATTAAAAACAGTGCAAACATTTTTAACAGCGCAAAAAAGTACACTTTTTGATGAATGTCCAATAGGGGCTTTCCTTTTTTTCTTTTATTTTTTCGCAACCTATTATTTACATATTACAAATACTTCATACTTTATTAACGTATGCTCATAGTACTACGAATGAGAATTTATCACCATTATTATTGTGCTGAATGATTTTCTCCTTTTTATGCATTTAAAAAAGGTATTTTAAATGATGCAACATTAATTTTTAATCATGTTTTTAAAATAACAAAATATACGCAAATATAAAATGGAAAATATGAAAATAATAAGAAAAACAAATTTTATCATACGCGAAAAATGTGGTATTCGACTTTGTCATGTGCGCAACTCTAAAATTTTTTTTTTTTTTTTTTTTTGTGATTTCTTTTGAAAAGCACTTTTAAAATATGAACTTTATAAATTCATAAAGGACAGCAACGCGTTCTATATTTTTGCTTTAGGAAAGTATACATACATGCCCAAGTTATGAAATTCCAAAAAATACATATTTTAATACAGGAATTATCTAGAAGAAAAAAAAAAAAAAAAACTCCTTTTTTAAATATGTTTTAAGCAAAAACCATTACAGACATGTTGTATGTATAGCATAAAATATGAAAAAAAAATTCCATTCTATGCTGAATATTAAAAATTATTTCATTTATATAACCCATTTTGAAAATCCTCGTGTGTCTATCTTAACCTATTAGTAATATCCTTCAATTAAATAGGTATATTTTATGTAAAATGGCACAAAGATATATGTTAAATTACGTACTTCCCCTTTAAAAGCATATTGTCATTATATAAGTTGTATTTCGAATCTGTGTAACACCTATTTTATTTTCATTTGAATAACATAAAATATCAAGTATCGTAATATCTCCCAGTAAAGTGTTCATATGTGTCAGTCAATTTTATCCCTTGTCGCACACCTGTCTCATATCGAGAGGTATAAAATTGTGATTTTAGAACTTTTGGTTAAAATGAGTGTGTCATATAATATGCAAAAAAAAAAAATATTCTTTAAAAGAAATTAAAATCAGTTATTCATCAAAGAAATCTTTTCATTTTCTCAAAAAAGGTTACACACTTATTGTTACATTGTCATCATATATATGTCATAATAATGTCAGAGAAAACTAATTTATGTAATTAATCCATTTAAGCCGCTTAACGCATTTAAAAACAACTCATGGGAGTGTAACATTTTCTACCCATATTTAAAAATGCACCCAGATTAAGTGAAATAAATATACCATACTATAGGGTTTTTCTTTTTTTTGCATCCATCCATAATAATTTAAAAAAAAAAAAAAAAAAAAAAAAAAAGCAAGTACTAGAAAACAAAATTACGAGGGTATTTCCAAATGAGTATAATATAACATAAATGGAAAAAATATTTTTCAAATTCAATCGTCAACGGCGACTTTTTCTTTTGTTGTATGGCACACTGGGCTCAAGATTGGCTTGTTCATATTTACATGAGTGCAGGAGTTCATATAAGGATTAATGTGTATATAGGTGCACGTTTTAACTCTCTTTAAATAGTGTAATGAAAATATGTTGAGGGCCCACGAATTTTAGCTCCTTCAGTTTTATTTTACCCCGTTTTACATAATTTTTTTATTTAAATATTTTTTCATTAAATTTTGCAAGCCTGAATTTTATATTTCATAACTGCAAAAATTTGATTGCGTATTATGATGTGAATCTCCATAGTGAAAAATATATATATATATAATAAAGATCGCATATACTTAACACATTGGGTGAAATGATGTTTTCACGGAACTTTGTGTCGTTCGTGTATACATGACTAAGCGGATAAAGACTTATGTGTACTGCCACTAGTATACACCTATATGTAAATACCACAATATATGCATATCGACACTCCCATTTTTCTGTTTTATGTGTATACCAATTTATGGCCTTATAGGACGGAGCTTTTAAGTCATAAAGAGCTGCATACATTTAAATGCTTTGTTTTTTCAAAAACTCCAAATTTGAAAGTGTAGCTCATTAAGAATTATACTTCCTGCCCACCTTACATTTAAAGAAAAATAGAAAAGTTACACAAAGGGAAATGTGCTTACATAGAAGAGTGCGCATTGTGAAAAATTTTAATTGTTTGTATTTAAAATAAGGAGAAAAAAGAAAGAGCAAAAGGACAGACTTTTCCAAATGCTCACGCATGTTCATACGTACGTAGGCACATATATTTATGCTTAAATATGCAATCCTAAATAAATTTTCACACCATCATTATACGCTTGCATGCGCAGAAGGAGGAAAAGATGCTCGAAAGAGTAGAAACAAACAGAACAATTAGAACTATCGTAACAGTAGAAACAAACGGAGCAATCGAAACTATCTAAATATACGAAACACACTGTTCCCTTTAGGAGGACCGTTTCTCACACCCAGGCACATAGAATTCATATAAAAATATTTTAATCGCACAGATTAAATAAGTAATAGAATTTTGAAGTCAATAAAAGCACGATGTGCACTACAAAATTTTAATGTGAAATGATTGACAAGGATACAGTTATGTAATTGGAAAACAGCGTCTAGAGCAAAAAAAGAAAGAAAAAAAAAAAAAAAGAAAAAAGGGGAATAGAGAAAGGAAAAAAAAAGAAAGTAAATGTCTAGACAAAAAGAAGTAAAAAAAAGGCAACGCAATAGAAGAACAAGACACGAAAGAAAGAAAACATGTTTTCCCTAATTAAGTCTGTGTTTGCTAATTCACAAGATGGAAAAGCCCTAAGTGTGTTAATTATCGGAGAGTGCGAATCAGGAAAAACAAGTTTGTTTAATCTAATTAGCAGTTATCATAACAAAAACAAATATGATATGATGAACACCATAATATCAACAGAAGATAAGTATAGTAATTGTGCCCTCGGTTTTAACACTAAGACAATTAGTTTCAATAAAAAGAATTTAAAAATATATGATTTAGAAGGGACAGCAACAAATACCATAGACATATACGACTGTTATTATGATGATGCAGATGTTATATTTTATGTAATTGATGCTAAGAATGAAAAACATATTTTTAAAACAATTCTTTATTTATCTTGTTTAAGTAGCTATAACAAACTAATCGGTTCATGTACTAATTGTAAAAATAAAAAAAAGCAAACAAACAAAAAAGAGATTTTAAAACCTATTTTTATACTAGGAAATAAATCTGAAGATACTTCAGCATTTTTTTCTGCCCCTTGTATATTAAATTATATACAATCCATAGATATTTATAAAAATGACAAATTTTGGCAATTCTTTTTATCCAATGATAACACATTTTTGAAGTACTATTTAAGTGTACTATACGAAAAAATATATGGTTATATATTTGATGGTTATCTTTCTGAGCACCCTGTTGAAATGACCAAGGAAGAAAAAGAATCCCAACAGAGGGGAGATGTAATAATTAATAGACTGAAAGAATCGGGAGAGGGTATAACAACCAATCAAAAGAGGGATATAATGAAAGATAAGCAAAATAAGAGTCACAAGCAGGAAAGCGAAAATCGAAAGATGGGCAAAGATACACAAAATACGGAAGAAATAGGAAAAAAAAAACATTTGTTCTACCTTGAAGAGATAAAAATATCATGTAGTGACATTGTGAACGATATAAAAAATGAACGTAAAACTTCCATAATTGTAGAAGATATTGAGAATAATAAAATATTGGAAGAATTTATGAAAAATATTATTAAGGAAAATATAGATAATTACAAACATAATCCCATATATGTGTATAACATTAGCGTACGTAGAAATAAAGGAATTTATGAAATAATTGAACAAATTTTTGAAGAATATTTCACAAGCGATATTTACACAAATGAAGACAAAACATATGATAATACACAGTATCAAAAGCAAGTAAAAGTGACAAAACTCATGAATGAGCATGCATCTTGCAATGTCAGAAATGGACTAAAAGAAGAATTAGAAGCAGAATTAGAAGCAGAATTAGAAGCAGAAGAAGAAGAAGAAGAAGAAAAAGAAAAAGAGAAAGACACGAATTCGCTACATACGTATGGAAAGAATGCCACAGGAGGAAATAAATTCATTATAGAAAAAAATAATCAGGAAGTTGATGGAAGTAACGCACATGGTTATTATTCTTATTTTATGAAAGAGGATGTCGAAAAAGTTGATAATAGCTACACAGACAATCCATGCATTTCTGCCAGGAAAGGCAGAATGAGTGACACTACCCTATATGCAAAATCATGTACACGAAAAAATAATGATTATACCATGTATGAACGGAGTAATCATTCTGTTAACTTATTCGTCGAACATATGCAGCACGTACACTTTGGGAAAAGAATTTTTGAATATCCGCTAAATATGTTTTATTTTTTGCACGGGCAAAATGAAAAATATAGGAAAAAATATAGAATTAAAAAGAAGAACCAGGACAAAAAAAATCAAAGTCAAATTCATTTACAAGAGGGGCAGGAGAAAAATATGCTTCATCTGAAAGATCCCCACGAAACTGTGGAAGGGAAAGAAGCGATAGAGGCTATGGAAGGGAAAGAAGCGATAGAGGCTATGGAAGGGAAAGAAGCGATAGAGGCTATGGAAGGGAAAGAAGCGATAGAGGCTATGGAAGGGAAAGAAGCGATAGAGGCTATGGAAGGGAAAGAAGCGATAGAGGCTATGGAAGGGAAAGAAGCGATAGAGGCTATGGAAGGGAAAGAAGCGATAGAGGCTATGGAAGGGAAAGAAGCGATAGAAGCTATGGAAGCGAAAGAAACGATAGAAGCGAAAGAAACGATGGAAGCAATGGAGGAGATAGAAGCAATGGAGGCGATAGAAGCAATAGACGCGAAAGAAACGATGGAAGCAATAGACTTGAAAGAAACGATTGAAGCGATCGACGCGAAAGAAACGATGGAAGAGAAAGAAGTTTTCTCTTCAGACAGAACTTTTTCTTTTGATAATTTCCCCCCAGTGGAGAAAGCAAGCGAGACGGAAAAGGAATATAAAGAGTATAAAGGAAAAATGGTGCTGAGAAATGTAAAATCGGAAAGAAAAGGAGAGGATGTGAAAAATAAAAGAGAAGCATTGGACATCGAAACAAATGAACTGGTAGATATAACAAAAATTAAACTATGGGAAGAAGCGAAAGATAAAAAGTGGGAACTCGGTCAAATGTGTGTCATTAAAGAATCAAATGAAGAACAAAGAGAACAAATAATAGTAGAAATGCGTGAAGACAATAGAAATCCCATTGACCATGAGGTCATAGTTTACGAAGAAGATGAAAAAAAAGAAAAAATTCAAAAGGACCTTTTCCCGTTTGATGAAGAACGAGATAGACAGAATTATGCAAATCTTGCTGATTATACTGATTACTCATCAGTGGAAATGAAAATAAAAGATGGTAGCCATATTCATGAAGAAAACAGTATAAATAATTACACGAATGAGGGTAAAAGTATCATACGTAAAGGAAAAATTAAAAAAAAAAGATATTCCATTGTGGAAAAAGAGAAAAAAAAAAAAATTTTGTATAGTGGTAAAAATAAAAATGATATAGATGAAAATTCAAGTAATTCCCTGGAAGATGTTAACTTGATAAATGTTATGCGGGTTGATTCGATAAATAAAATTTGAACGTAACAAAGGGAAGGTAAAAAAATGAAAAAAGCCAAAAATTTTTATAAGACTCTCCAAAAAAAAAAAATGCATAGTTTTATAAAATTATTACTTGAAATAAATTAGAATTTTTTTTTTTTTTTTCACCCTGGATTCCCATGAAATAATGCCCCTTCTTTTTTTCATAATTAAATAATCGACAAATTTCATCATTCTATTAATATCTTCGATAAGTTTTTTTTTTTTTTTTCATTAATACTTTTGCCCTTTTTTGTGTATACTCTATAAAAAAATTTTTTTTTTTTTTTTTTTTTTTTTGTGTATAAAATAATTTCATAGTAATTTTTAACTTTTTAAAGCTTTTCAAACTGTATGAGTTTTTTTTTTCCCCCTATCAGTAAGATGTTGTAAAGACGTGTGGGGATACACACGTTGATGTATTGGCAAATCGAAAAAAAAAACGTAGCATCAGGGTTATTCATAATAACCAGTCTAGACATAATAACAAATTATGCTTTAAAAGAAAAAGCAAAAAGGAATGAGTTTTTTTTTTGAAAAAACCTGAAAACAAATTAAGTCCAAACTGATTATGGAAAAAGGTGCAAAACTAAGAATTGGAAAAAAAAAAAAAAAAAAAAACCCAAAGCTATAAATTTTCAACAATGACAGATGTGGATGTGCCCAGGTAGTTATTTATAGAAGCACAACCGAATTTCATGTCGAAATTTTTTAAAACTGTAATTAGTGAAATGAATATTCTGGAACCAGATACTGAACTTGGATGTCCTAATGATAATGCTCCACCATTAATGTTGACATTGGATTCATCCAAGTTTAAATTACGCATATTATATACTACATCTAACGCGGAAGATTCATTAATTTCGTAATAATCAACTGACGATTTATTTCCCTTTTTGAGGCACTTGGTTATGGAGTGAGAAATGCTAAGAGGAAAATCTGAAGGATACACAGATGCATTATCATAAGTAACAATTTCTGCTAATGGATTCAATTCTAATTCATTTATTTTTCGTTCACTCATAAGAACAATTGCACAAGCACCATCAGCAAATGGTGCTATATTATAATTCGTCACAATGGATTCACTACTTAAATTACAGATATCATCTATGTTGCATTTTTTATATATTTCATCACTATCTATGATAGTTTTTTCATTCTTTAATGGACTTTGTTTTCTTTGAATTATTAAAGGATACATTTCTTGTTGAATTAAATTATCACTATAAGCATTAGCTGCTCTCTTAAATGAATTGATAACATATGTATCCAAGTCTACTCTAGGTATTTTAAATTTTTTACAAAACAATTCCATATTGTTATTTCTTTTTAATTCTTTATTATTAGTTATATAATCGTACCCATCGCACACAATACTGTCATTTATGATGTTGTTTCCTAGATGATATTTTTCAGTTCTTAATTTTTTCAAATAAAATGGACTCTGTGACATAGATTCCATTGATCCAACGATGCAAATGTCCTTACCTCCTTTGATTATTTCATACCCAATAGTAACTGCGTCCAGGCCTCCACAGCACATGTTGTTTATTAGGTATGTTTTCACGTTCATGTTTATTCCTGCAGGGGGTTGAAAGTGCCATGGGGATAAAAATTCTTAATTGCTAATATTTCGTGGTAGCACGTGCGGGCAAGCATGCGTACAGAAGCATAAATGGAGTAACATAAATGGAGTAGCATAAATGGAGTAACATAAATGGAGTAACATAAATGGAGTGTCACACATCTATGTGTGTTATCGGGGCTCATATCCTCTAGTCCCCAATGGGTATAAATTTACAAAAGTTCAGAGGAATACATGATCATGCATAAAACTGGTAGGGGAAAATAAATAGAGAACAAGAATAAACACAAAACAGGTAAGTCCTTTCTATGCACATATATTTGAAGGGAAGTCTAACCAGACGCAACTACAATTCTTTGGAGTGGCAAAGGTCCGCATCCGGCGGGGAAGGATTGTCCGAAAATCAAGGAGTCTATTTCATCTTTTTCAATTTGACTTCTTTCTAGGGCTTTCAAGATTGTTGTGCTGGCTGCATGGCGAGGCGTAAAAATACATATATAAGCATACATATATACACACAAATATATGCAAACACATATATACACACACATATATATACACCTATATATATGTATACGTGCATATACCCCGTGGGCAAACTGCTTATACACAGATGGGAAGCATAATAAAACATAGGTTAATAAATTTACGTCACGCAATGGCACGACAACAGTGTATGAATCCAATATTCAGACCTAATTTGTGCACAGGTATCTGTGATAGGCTCCCGCTCAAAGAGCCGAAGGGAGTTCTGGCATATCCCACAACAAAAACTTTTCTCAAACTATTCGTAAGCATCATCTTTTCATGTCTCCCTGCACCATTAAGTCTGTAATTATTAAATTTCCTTTTTTAATACTGTAGCGAGATTATTGAACGATCTATCATTGTTAGTATATATTTAAGTGTGTATATACTTAGATGTTTCCATTCACAATTCTACGTAAAAAAAATTGAACAAGTTTTTTACATTGCACATGCAAGGATGAAAATTCTTTTTATTTTTAGTAGGTCTTTTTTTCACGTTGTAATAGATAAATGTTAAATCTGTACCAAACCTTTTCAGCTGTAACCCCTGTACATCTATAGTGTCGTTTATGAATCTCGTGACATATTGTGCATTCCTTCACAACCACTGGATTATGTGCATTTTAGCTCAGTTAATAATATCATCAAACTTTTCAAAGAAATTAACATTCCATTTATAATTCAAGAAAAATGTGATAAACGAGTTCCCCCCTTCTATAAGTGCCTAACTTATATACACTTAATTCGAAAAATAACCCATTCAATAGAACATACATATGTTTCTTGAAGAAGAAAAAAAAATTTTTTTTTTTTTCTTTTTATTTTTTTTTCCCAATACATATGTAGTACCTTCTGAAATAATTTTTTTTTCTTAGATAAACAGGAAAAAGTGTAAAAAAAAAAAAAAAAAAAAAAAAAAAAAAAAAACATATTAACGGAGGAAAAGGTATGTATTCCTTATACCTACAAATTATTGCAGAAAACTTGGAAGGCATTATTTTTATTTTATTTTATTTTTTTTTTATGGATATGACCCAGTAAGGAGGTATACAACCTGTAAAACCCTGAACCCTAAATCTCATCATATCATATAACTTGCAATTTTGCAGCATATTATATTAAAAACTGAGATTTGAGACCTTTTACTAAAATATACAAGGGTAGACATAGTTATAGGCACACGTTTGGAAGACGGATCTTATTTTATTTTAATTTTTGGATAGCAAAACCAACTCTTCAATGTTTTATGAACGGCTATAAAAAATAATTAATATAGCATGCAGGAGTACCATCGGGATAGTTACCACCATTGGGAAAAGTGTTAGAGTGGTTGGAGAAATGTAGTATTCCCTTCCCCCTCCTTTGTTATGATGGTATATCTGTATTTTTGAAAAAAATTTACAAAACTTGTGGTGTTCTTTTATGTGTTTTTTTGTCATATGATGAATTGGGATACCCGTTTGTTGATTGACAATGCGTTTTAAAAGATAAATAACAAAATGCTGCGTTTCTCACTGTGGAGGCAGAAAAAGAATGCAGGTATTTTAGGAATGAAGAGAAAAATTAAGGACAGTGAAGGAGCAGAATGCAGAAAGTTGAAACTGAAGTGGGATGACAAAATTTTGTCGCTACATATTTTTGACTTAGTTCCAAGAAATAAAAACAATGCAGAAATGCTAGAAATGAAAAGTATGAATATAATTAAAGATATGAGTAAAATAAAGTACGATTTTGTAATATTCGGTATAGGATATGTAGATTATGATAAAATACTAAAATCTTTTAATAGAGCTGAATTGGTGAGAAGAAAAATGATTGACTCGATACATTCCAATTTAAAAAAAGTGAATGGTCAATATATTTCTCTCATCCAACAGTGTCTGCTTTTGAATATTCCTCACTTCTGCTTAGGTAGAGACAGATTAACTGAATTGGCTAGTATCGGGACTGCTATATTTAGCAACCCTAAGGAAATTTTCTCTTTGGTATACTATTTTCTTATCAACAGCGATAAGACAAATATAAATAATAGGGACATATCTGACGAAAGTTGGAAGAAGAAAGATGATATGGAATTAAACTTAGAAAACAATTCCCCTCATTTTTACCACGCACTAGTCGCAGAAAATGCCCTATACCTTATTTATAATTTACACGCAATTCTTTTAAAAGTTTTAAAATCCCATTTTTATGTGCCACCAAATGACAGTTTCAAAAATAGTAATAATAATAAATATGATACAAATAATTTAAACAAAAAAAATTTTAAAGAAAAACTGTGTTCTTTTTTTAAGGAAACAACGTATGATCAAATAAATGCATTTCGAAATCAAATAAATAAAACGCAGTTATATTCGGATTATGAATTATCTTCAGAAAAAAAAGACATTAAAATTTTAATTATTTGTGATGCTATATGTGTTGATTATTTTTGTAATTATGTAAAAAGTAATTTACATTTGTGGAAAAATGTTTCTCCGTTTTACCATGAATTATTTGTACTGGAAAAAAAAAACACATACAAATTTGCACTATCTCTTTTTTTATTTATTATTGCACCCATAGCATGGATAGTTACTTTTCTGTTAAAATATTTGTATCATCTGTGGGTTGAATATTTCACAAAAGGAAAGGTCATTACTGTAGGCGGCGATATATTCTTTCAAGATTCCAAATTAATTGACATTAATGACGAAAATTCAGATTCATCTAAAAATTACGAACAAATTTTCAGATCCATTCATCCTAATAAAGAACAGTTTGAGACAGTCAGCTTATTAGGGGGTCTTTTACAATGGTTTAAAAATAAAAGTCGCAGTTAAAGCATCTTCTACAGGAAACATGGAAATGTAAGTAATTCTTCAGACATGTCTCCAGATATATTCCAGTGGAAAAAAAAAGAAAAGAAAAGAAGAGGCTATTATTCGAGGAGACATTTGCAATTCTGCGAATGTGTAACATGTATGCCTGTATGTATTATTATACTGCTATAATTTTTTCTCCCATTCTCCTTTTTTTTTTTTTTTTTCTCTTTCAAGTTGCATATTTGTATACGTCACGATTCATTTTGCTCATAAATACATCGAATATCTGCTTATTGGAAAATTAGAATGTTGTTATTTAATCATTTGACCAAAACTTGACTATTTTGTTTTATATCCCATTTTAATAACATTTCTTAATTCATAAACTATTGCATAATTCAAGTCGCGTCGAGGATAAGCATCACACGAAAAAAAAAAAAAAAAAAAAACAATACACATATGTGTAAACATAACACAAAAAAAAAAAAAAAAAAAAAAAAAATTGTGGGTACACAAATGGGCATGTTTTTTTCCCTTAAAAAAGTAGTAAACTGCAAAACGTTTTTAAAACGACAATCATTAGAACGGACGAGGGAAGAGGGATACATATGTATATATGCATACTTTTGCACGTCCTACAATTTAGAGGCTTTATGGCTCTTTTTTTATCTGATCTTTTCTGGAAAAGGGGAATAATGCTTGTATAGAGCCTGCTAAATTGGATCTAAATAAAGTAGGAAATATTTTTCCTGCTGTTTTTTTTTTTTTTTTTTTTTATTATTTGATTGGATTTCTTTCTCATTTTCTTCATTATTGATTTTTTTTTTTTTTTTTTCTAATCGAGTTTTTCTTGCTTCGTTAGCAACTTCTAGGATCTTTTTATTACCTTATTCCTTTTTCATATGAATTATGTGAGATCTTTTCATTTACTTTTCCTTTTTATTTTGTTATTTTATTTACTTTCTTCTTTACTCGCTTGTGCATGTTCATTTCTTTCCAGATGTTTTTAGAATTTTCTAATCTTTTGATGTATCCATTTTCCCACTTTTTTATAAGCGTTCCACAAATTTTATATGTCTACAAATAATTTTTCTCATTTTTGTTTTTCCCCTTTCTTTCCTTTGAATATTTGCTACGTTTTCATTTTGTATTCCTATGATGAGGTATAATGTTCATTTATTGAGAAAATTTTTATTTTTCATAAAGCTTCATTAAGGGAAGAGGAGAAGCACTCCTTCTCCTACGACTTTTGCTACTGATGCTCCTGTTGCTCCTGCTACATTAATTATCAATTTCTCCCATTTGTGCTTACTGATGCAGTGTGCGTGAGAAACTTTGTTTTTCATGCGACATTTGGTTTGGTTAAGGAAATTTCTTCCGACCCTTTTTCTTATGTGGGTATGTATCCTTCCCACCTTCACAAACACATTTACATTTAAAGACGGATACATCTAAATAACCAGTACTCTACAACATTAACTGAATCACTAATGTTGTTATTCTTCTTTCAATCTTTCTATCCTCCAAGGATATAATGAATTGGCACCATTTGATCACTCATTGGATTTTAAGTAGAGAATTATGTCCTTAAGATTCTACATCATCGTTGTTACCTTTTTTACTATAATATTTTTTAACATTGTTTATAATTTTTAAAGTTTCCTCATCTATGTAATCCTTATTTAATTTCTTATTTTCAAAATTTTCTTTTTTTTTTTTTTCATGTTTTGAAGAGTAATAGTTACTTGATTTTTCATTTCTTTTCTTCTTTCTATGTACATCATTACTATTACTTTCATTACTATCGCTTCTTTTTCTGTGTTTTCTACTGTTTTTTATTTCCTTTTCTTGAAGAATTTTTCCAGAATTGTCATCATTTCGTTGTGTATTATTGCGTTCCTCTCCTTTGTGCTGTTCTTCTAGTTTATAAAATCTGCTGCTTGGCTCGTCCCTTGTATGCAGAGAATTGTCAGAGGGATGTTTGTTTGTGCGTTTGTTACGCTCTTCTCTTTTATCTCGTTCTTCTCGCTTTTCACGTTTTTCTTGTTTTTCTCGTTCTTCTCGTTCTTCTCTCTTTTCATGCTTTTCTTGTTTTTCTCGTTCTTCTCGTTTTTCTCGCTTTTCACGTTTTTCTTGTTTCTCATGCTCTTCTCGTTTTTCTAGCTTTTCTAGCTTTTTACGTTTTTCACGTTTTTCTTGTTTTTCTCGTTCTTCTCTCTTTTCACGTTTTTCTTGTTTTTCTCGTTCTTCTCTCTTTTCATGCTTTTCTTGTTTTTCTCGTTCTTCTCTCTTTTCACGTTTTTCTTGTTTCTCACATTCTTCTCGTTCTTCGCTTTCATCACTTGTAATGTCTCTACCCTCGCCACGCATGCTTCTCTTAACCTTTCCCTTACTGCCGTTGGCATATTTGCGTTCTTCACTGTTACGTCCTAAAGCAACTTTTTTCATTCTCTCAGGAGCTTTGTTCTTATGAACGAGTTTCTTTTTCTTACAATTTGAATAGCTTCGGTGGTTAGCGTCGCTTGAATAATATGAACTATCAGACTCGTGGGAATTTGATGAATTTAACGATACCTTCGAATCGTGAGAATCTGATGAATGCAGCGATTCCTTCGAATCATGTGAATCAGATGTATCACTTGAAGAATTAGATTCACTCTGTTGTGAAGAGTTAAAATTGTATGAATCCATAGTTCTATATTTTGCTTCTCTTTTTGAATGAGTCTTTTTTCTTGAAGAATGAAATTCCTCAAAACTTCGCATTCTATTTTTTTTCTTATCTTGCTGTTCTCTATTAATAAAATTTTCACGCTTTACAGTATTATGTGTAGGGACATTATCACTAGAACCTGAGCTAGATTCTGATAATTCAGAATTTTCTGAAATGCTTAATTGGTCCGCAGATGGACTAGATTCTGTATCAGAATAATCATCACTGTTTGTCGAGTCAGTTCTTGAGGTGCTATTTTTCTCATTGCTTTCATTATCACTTTTTTTGTCACTTTGTTCCTCGTATGTATCATCACTTTCATCAATTCGCTCCCCGTTTTCCTTTTCATGTTTTTGTTTTTTATTGTCTCTATTCTTTTTTTTGTTTTCCATTTTCTTTTCTTTTTTTATCCCTCGTTTCAGTTCCTTGGGTAAATTATTACTAATCTGCTTTTCCTGTACAATTATTTTGTGTCCATTTTTTTCATTCACTTTGACATCATTCCTTCCTAGTTGCATCATTTGATCTATGCTATTATCTCTTCTAATTCGAAGGGCTTTTTGAAAATTCTCTAATTGCCTTTTTTTCTTATCATTAAGCATGTGAGTATTTTCATCGGTGTTATTGTCTCTATTTGAATGCGTATAAAATGTATTTTCCGTTTTTTTTTTTTTTTCATAATATTCATCATATAACTGATTCCTATACTGATCTATTAATTTTTCTATATTTTCTTTTCCCTCTTCTCGTAGCTTTTCTTCATATAGTAGAACATTTAGCTCTATTTTTCTTTTTTCTGAGTGTTCAATAATTGAATAATCACAGGTGTGTTTTTTGTCTACTATATTATTCATTTTAATTTCGTTTCTAAACTTGTCGTAATCTCTTACAGTATTCCTGACATTTCGGATGTGTGCCATGTTTGTTTGAATATATCCATTAGTCCCTGACCCCCTTGGGGTTTTCAACCCGATTCCATTATACATCTCCTTAGTTTTTGTTTTTGCTTTATATTTTTCTCTTATAAAAGTAAGTTGTAGCGAATTTATTTCTACCTCTTATTGTGGATTAAGTCACACATGTGGAAATATGTCCCTTTTTTATATACGTTCGTAAGCAAGGTAGGAGAAGGAGTGATAATGATAACTTATCTTATACAGACTAAACACGATTCAAATGCAAAGTGTGGAATGAGTTTATATATAAAATTAATCACCTTATGCACATACATATGTATGTGTTATTTTATTTTTTTTTTTTAATTGTCCTTTTTAATGTTTAAAAAAAAAAAAAAAAAAAAAAAAAAAAAAACCACAATATTGTAGGCATTAATTTTCTTCTCCATAAATATGAAAAATCAGATACTTAATTCATTTCTTGTGCAAATGAGGAGAATTTCTTCTATCCATAGGTATATAAAAATATGTATAAAAGATCAAGCTGTATATTCATACACGTTTAGCATTTTCTTCTATATGCATATATTATATATATAAGTGAAGATCGTATGTTTTTATATACTTGTGGGAGGAAATAGCCGTTGGATGGGACAAAATAAATAAGTAAAACATTTTCAAAAAAATTGTATACGTTTAAATAGATGGTTATGTAAACAAATTACTGTTTCTCTTTAAATTATGTTTTTTTTTTTTTTTTTTGTTTTCTTCTTTTTTTTTCCTTTTTTTTTTTTCTCCACAGAATGCAATATTCGTACATATACATAATAATAATTTCATTTTTTCTGTTAATTTTTTGTTCTGATGCATAAAAAAAAAAAAAGAAAATATAATTTCAGTTATATTCACAAGATTAAAAATAACTAAAAAAAACGGGAAAAGTACTAATTTAAGTATTGCACAATACTAAAACCCGAAAGGGGAGGAAAAATATTAGAATTGCGGCATGTTCGAAAATTTAAAAAAGGGAATGGAAAAAAAAAAAAAAAAAAAAAAAAAATATAAATCCAATAAACATTGTTATTACATTCCATATGGGCAACTAATTTTCCCCTAAGGCAATACATAGCCCATATACATATTTTGAAAACCAAAAAAAAAAAAAAATAAAACTGAATGAGGGTAAAACGAAAGCCTATATAACTGTAAATTGTCTCAACCGCAACAATATATATATATATATATGCAGTACAGCTAAGCAAAGCAACGTTGTGAACATACCGATTTGCAACACTTTACCATTTTTGCTAGTGCACGAACATGTTCATTTGCTACTTGAAAATGTGTTCCACTGAAAAAGGGAAGAAGAATAAGAAAAATGAGAGAGGGACAATAGTGTATATCAATTATGTGCATTGTTAGGAAAATTTGTTATGCTTTTAAAATATATCATATTTGAGGGAAAAAACATCAAACTGCATACGCTTATATAGATATAGAAACGAGACGTAAATATGCTTACTCTTTATAAGAACCTACTAAAAAGCACGTTATAATTTCTTAGCATCACCAGGAGCAATAAACATACATATATATGTATATGTACACAGGCACAGTAATTGGAACTGTACGTCTCTTATCCTCTACATGGTGCCCATTTTTGCTTATCGAAGAAGCAAATTTTCTGCTTTGATGAAAAGGAGTAACCCTGTTTCCTCGAAGTGGCATAGAAAATATCACAATCATGTTAATTATGTAGACAATCCTAGTAAAAGACCCAAACTAGTGGTTACAGAAAAGTGTGTGAAAAATGTGTTGAATGGATTTCCATGGCTATACTCAAAGGATGTAAAAAATTCAGATGAGTTAGTTTTGTATAGTCCCTGTATAGTTAATATAAAAAATGAATATGATGAACATTTAGGAATAGGAATATATAACAAAAATTCTGTTATCGCATCAAGGATATTAAGCACAAATATAAACGATTTTATAAATGAAGAATTTTTTACTTTGAGAATTGAAAAGGCATATAAAAAAAGATTAGAGCTATTTCCAAATGATAATTTTTTCCGCGTTGTTAATGCAGAAAGTGATTTTTTACCTGGAATTATTATAGACAAATATGACAAACTAACATGTGTTCAAATAAACGCAAGTGGCATGGATATACTTTTACATATCATACTGAAAAGTATAGAGAATGTATTAAACCCAGATATAATTATTTTAAAGAATGATAATAAAATAAGGAAATTAGAAAAATTACCTTTAAAAAAAGAGGTTTACAAAGGTGTATACAATTCACCAATAGAAGTAAGAGAAAATGGATTAACATTTTTCGTAGATATTTTACAAAGTCAGAAAACAGGTTGGTATTATGATCAAAGACATAATCGTTCCATGCTCATTCCGTACTGCAAAAATAAAAGGGTATTAGATTTATTTTCTTATGTTGGCTCGTTTGGTATTACTTTAGCTTATTATGGTGCTAAGGAAGTGACATGCGTTGATTCATCTTATGATGCTATTCAGAATGGGATTAAATCAGCTCAATATAACAATGTGCTGGACAAGACCAATTTCGTGCATTCATGTGTTAAAAAATTTCTTAACATTTGTTTAAACACGCAAATGTGGGATCCATTCACGTATAAGCACATAAGTCAAGAAGTAAAAGTGAACAACGGAACACAATGTGGAAATCAAAATGAAGAAAGGTACAAAATAACACATCATAAATCATACGAAGATCAAAAAAAACATACATGCATGCAACAAAACGGGGATACATCATCCCTAACTCCAAGCGGGCTGGATCTAATGAAAGTTGAAACGAATATGAATTTGAACAATTCAGGGAAAGACCTCGATATGAATACTCAAGTATGTGCTCAGTTACATGAACAAGGGAAGGAGAAACTCCATTCGGATATGCAGAATATATTCATATACGAAAAGACTAAAATAGATGCAACGGATATAGGGGATATAGAAAATTTATTAATTAAAAATAATAGAGTTGATTTTTTAAAAAAAAAATACGACGTAATATTAGTTGACCCACCAGCACTAGCAGGTAACAGTTATTTAGTGCCTTCTGCTTTAAAAATTTATCAAAAACTTTTGTACATATCCTTTAAAATTATACAAAAGCCTGGATATGTGTTTGTTTCCAGTTGCAACAGATTGATTGGATACGAGGAACTCCTTATGTGTATACGGAGGTCCTTAAATTGGTCCAAGTGTGAAGGAATAATAATAGGTGAAGGTCGAATTAGTGCTGACCACCCTGTGCATGTTTCGCTTCCAGAAACGAGGTACCTCACATCTGTTCTCATTATGGTTAGTTAGAATTACTGCACGTTATATTTCCACTTCCCACACAGCCAGCAACTCATCTATAGACTCATCACTTATGGACACAATTGGAGACTCAATTAGCAATGCATTTAAGGATTCTACTATCGATCTTTTTTTTTTTTTTTTTTTTTTTTTTTTTTTTTTTTTTTTTTTTTTTTTTTTTTTTTTTTTTTTTTTTTTTTTTTTTTGTCCTCATTTTATACGAAAAAAAAATGGTATATATAATTTATCTATTCACACATTTTTCCTGATCAGTTACCCTTCACCTGCCAGTGTGCAATTTTTTTTGGTATATTTATAATAGAACTTCTAATTTTACACATTCATAGTTCGTTTTACAGAGTCGAATACGTTTTCCTTTTGTTTACATAAGATATTAAATAGGTTGTAATTTTTTTTAAAAAAAAAAAAATAAAATACGCAATTATTTTTCTTTTAAAATGGGGTAAAATCTTCATTTCACGAACTCAGCGTTGTGCTAAACTCATTGCATTTGTCACATTTTGAACAAGTGTGAAAAAGAAGAAAAAGGCCTAAGGGATTGTGCAAAATGTAGCAAAATGAAATATGTAGCTCGGAACGTCGAATGTAGTAGTAGCAACTGTCCTCAATGAATTTTATTTTATTCATTATTATTTTTTTTTAGTTATTTCTTTGCATATTTAACTCTGTGTTTTCTGAAATTTGTTGTTTATACTTATTTCTATTTTTATTTTTTTCAATGTACCTTTCAGTTCAAATGTAAAAATATAAAAAAAGGTAAAACAACAGGAATGATGACAAAAACGGAAAATTTGGTGGACAAAAATGCATGGTGTCCTTCCTAAGAAGTTTCATTTTAGCACAAGCAAACCTAATTACAAAATTTGACCACCAGTGTGAAACACATTTTTTTGAAAACATGACTTTGTAGGAAAAAATCGAACAAAACAACGAAGAGAGGAGAAAAAAAAAAAAAAAAAATTACATAATTTTTCTATACCCATTTAAGTAGAAAATGACGATATTCATATGACATAAAAATAATGTTGCATTATTGCATTAGGGTGTATACATATTTGAAGAAGGCGTGGGAAAAGTTTTATTGTTGCTATTATTAACTTATTGAAAATGTACATGTTGTTAACAATTCTTATCAGTATACATCCATTTAATGCGATGAATTTTTGTTGAACAAAATGAATTAAGGAAGAGAAATATGTATGTCACCCAAAGCAAACAGATAAGTCATGCTGGATAGGTAAATGGGAAACTACTATATTAGGTTTATGTACATTAATGTACACACGTGCAGCGATACATTCAGAGACAAAAGCTATATCCACAATTGTTCGTGTTTTTTCCTTTCTTTTTTTTTTTTTCGTTTATTAAATGAATTTTTTTTTTTTTTTTTTTTTTTTTTTTTCACTGTGGGAGCATTGGTAAGGAGTTATCTTTTAATATAAAAGTGTGTAAGCGTTCGAAGTGCAAGCACAAAAATGCATTGACAAGGAAATATGTGGACTCATTTACAGTACTCTTTTCATCAAACACTAAGGGCGATTTTGCTTATAATCTTCTTGTGAATTTGAATGAAATTTTTTGTTCAGTTCTTTGTTTCTTTTTTGCAGAGGCTACTTTTTGCACTTGTTATTTTATTTTATTATTTTAATTTTTTTTTTTTTTTTTGCATGTTTGTTTTGTTTATTGTTTTTGAGTTATGAGTTCTGGCTGGAATTTCAAATTTAATCGAAAATATGGTCAAAGAAAAAAAGGGGAGGCACTGAATCATATTAACATATTTAACAATGTGGACATCCAAAATTTTATAGAAAAAAATGGAAAGTTGAGGGATGGATTGAATTGCGGTCCTGCTGGACGGAAGGCATTGATTCGATGGATAGAATGTAAAGGAAAAATAAAAGAAAAAGAAAAAAATAAATAAAAAAAAGAAAAAAAAAAAAAAAGAAAAAATATATCAGACATGAAAAGAGATCATATGAATTCGAAACAAAATTAAACAGTTAAATAAAATACAACTCATGAATTGATAAACAAAATATTAAAGGCATTGAAAAGACTCATGTGTCAACATCAAGGCCAATAACAATGTGAGTTCTGCGAACCACAAAAAAAAAAAAAAAAAAAAAAAAAAAAAGACAGAAAGATAGAAAGTCAGAAAGATAGAAAGACAGAAAGATAGAAAGTCAGAAAGATAGAAAGACTGAAAAAAAGAAAGACAGAAAGAAGAAAAAAAAATTACCACAAATGATAATATATTACTTTTCCTTTTACTCTCAGATAATTACGAACTAAAAAATGAAGATGAAAATGGTTACCCACTTGTGAGCGCTTGCAAGGTATGGCAAAGAAGACAAACATTCCAAGATATTACCTTATCAGGTCTAGTGGATTTTCTTAAGTTTCTAAATATCCCGAAACATATTACATACAGAACATTGTTTGATAATTACCTTTTTCCCAAGTTTGTGAATAAACTTAATTCGATAGAAAAGTCGCAGAAGTGGTAATTGAAAAAAAAAAAAAAAAAAAATGAAAAAAAAATAAGAGTATACCAGAACTGGCCTTCCGATAGGGGCAATTCTAATATTTTCTTAACACTAAAAATAAAGAAAACACGATTGCACAAGTATGTTTATGAGCATATATTTGCATGTCAAAGTTCTTTTATGTAAACACATTTACTTGAATCTTCATTCCTCATCCCTCCCCGCTCATGACTCCTATCCAACACAGCCTAATAAAATTGGCAAAGAAAATGATATCTATGTTTGAAGTACGAGAAATGCAATCACTATTCTCTATACTATTAGAAAAAATAAATGTGATACCTATTGGAATTTTAAAGACTTTAGTAGATGAAACTCCATCAGCTAAATACTTTTACGAAATAACGTCCATAAAAGTTAAGAGAAAAATATGGGCATTATGTCCCTATAAGTTTTATGAAGAAATTGAACCTATCATAGAAGAAATTGTTTTAAGAATGAAAATAAACAGTAGACATGATTATACTTCAACTGAACTAATCAACGAACTTATCGAATTAATAGGAGAACAAGAAGAAAAAACTTTTTTGTATAATTTATGTGTGCACATTATACGGTTAAAATGGGTTCAGGTTATTATAAATGAAAAGGAAAATTTTTCCTCTGATTTTATGGAGGGAAATAATAACGTAACAACTTGTGGTGATAAAGAAGAAGTAATTAAAACTTATGATAAGAAACCAGAATCTAAAGCATGTTCGAATAATGTATTATATGAAAGAAAAGAATTCGATGAGGATAAACAATTCAAAAATGAATACAACAATTTGGAGGATAACTTTTGTTACATGAACTTGAATCCCACTCCATGTCCCAATTCATTTGTAATCAATTTTGGAGAAAAACTGAAAAAATTACAAACAAGTTTTAGTAGAATAATGAACAAAGAAGAAAATGTAAAAGAGGAAGAACACTCATACATTGATAGGACAAAGTTGTACGTTATAAATCTTACTGAATATAGCCACAATAACACATCTTTTCATTATTTGAAGAAGAAAAAATTTATTAAGGTTCAAAATGATGTAATGAATGATGTCAAGAGAATGGACATATCTTGCAATAATTGTACGCACAAAGGAAAGGAATTTTTTAGAAAAAACATGGATTTTGGAAAACATATTTTCAGTGAAAAACATTGCTACAGCTGTGAAGAATCCAAAAACGACAGAAAGAGGAGTCTATCGAAGATAAGTCAAGAAGAGAAGGATGTAGTAAAAAGGATAAAGGTTCACTTTAACAGCTCTAATGAAAACAAAAATTTTTCAAATAGGTATCCCTCGAATGATGGTAAACTACAAAAGGAAGGGAAGAATGACACATCCAAAGATGTATTATTGAATGAAAAGCATAATGTTGATGCATATACTAACTCATTCAATAAGGGTAGTATCGAAAAGAATCTTCCCACAATTACAAAGACGGACAAAAATAATAATAATGATATGCGAAGTGATAAAGATTGCAATGGTAGAGAAAATAGTGAGAGTATAAATAATGGAATCCAAGTTGAAAAGGAAAAAATATACAGCGATAAGCACAAGTGCAAAACGAGCTATAATCAAAATGTGTCCAAAAGGTCAGTACTCCCATTTGATGGCATGTTCTACAGTCACATACGTCTACTTTTGTGTTTACAGTACAAGGAAAAATACAACGTGAAAGATGATGAGATGATGAAAATAGACAAATATTTTTCCATTATTGAATTTATTAACAGTGTTATTAAAGATGGGATATTAAATTTTTCTGATCAAATGAAAACACAAGAAATTATTAAAAAAATAAAAAATAATTTTAAAATAAAAAATATAGAAGATCTTTGTGAATACTCTCTTTTATTTAATAATGTTTTACTAAAATTATGCATTATTGAAGGCATCTGTTTTTATTTTTACAAAAATAATTTAGATACACTATCCCATAAAAATTACATGAATTTTTGGACGTCTCTCTTTTATTTTGGAATTTACAATAACTTTTTTTCTTTAATTAAGTACGCGATTGACAAGATGGAACACAAGGACAAGAAAAAAAAGTCGGTTCAACATTTCCATTTAAGAGGGAAAGCATTACCAGGTGAGGACGCAGCAGATGATCACTCCTATGGGGACTTCACTGGGGTGATCCACCAGATTCGCCATGACGAAAGTTCGAATTTGAGTGAAGAGGGTCGAAGTGAAGAGGGTCGAAGTGAAGAGGGTCGAAGTGAAGAGAGTCGAAGTGAAGAGAGTCGAAGTGAAGAGAGTCGAAGTGAAGAGGATCTAAGTGAAGAGGGTAGAAGTGAAGAGGGTCGAAGTGAAGAGGGTCGAAGTGAAGAGGATCTAAGTGAAGAGGATCTAAGTGAAGAGGGTAGAAGTGAAGAGGATCTAAGTGAAGAGAGTCGAAGTGAAGAGGATGGAAGTGAAGAGGGTCGAAGTGAAGAGGATCTAAGTGAAGAGGATGGAAGTGAAGAGGATGGAAGTGAAGAACTGAACCTAATTGGTCCAAGTGAACTAACTAATGAAAAAAGGACGGGTTGCCATATCTTGGAAAGATGTAATAGAAGCTTTGAATGTGAGAATAATTCTAGCACAAATGGAGATGAACGATATGACGAAATGCATGAATATCAAGGCCATCTGGAGAGATACGACGAAAGCAACGTGTCGGATGGAGAATTGAGTGTGGAAAGGAGAAGGGAGGAGCAAGAGATGGTGTACGAGCGGTATAGGCGATGTGAATATCGTGAAGTACAAGAGGAGGAAGAAGAAGAAGAAGAGGGAGAAGACGAATATGACGAGGATGGAGAAAGTGATGAATACTATGAAGATACAGAAAGTGACGAAATAGACGGCGAATGCGACAAGAGAGAAGAGGAAAAACACATTCAGCGCTACAGCCACAGTAAGAGAAATGAAAATGGACGTGCGCTTGACTTAAGCAACTGTAATGACAGTGCCTATATAGTGGACACGAGAGGAAGAAATGAAAAGAATGATTTCAAAAAGCACTTGTTCAGAAAGGGGAATAAGCACACACCGAAGGAAGAGCACACAAGCAGTGCTACACATACAATGAATGATGAAACTATAAATAAAGAATACAAGTTATTTTTTAATGATTGCAAAGATAGTTATTTAAAAATACCTTTAATTAATATTTTAAAATATATTGTAATTCCAAAAAACGAAGAGCACAATTTTCTCTCCTTTTTTGATTTCTTTGAAGAAGATAAAAATGTAGAAAACATCAAGTCGAAAAAAGAAAAAAACAGTATCTTATTATTATCTGCCTTGCTAAACATACCTCAAATAGATTACATTAAAATAAAAAATTTTTTCATAATTATTGATGAATTTTTTTATATGGAAAAGAAGAATTTACAAATCTTGTATCCAACTGTTGCTACAATGAATGAGGAAGGAAGTAACATTTTGGAAATTATTAATGAAACGAGAGGGACCGAGGAAAATAAAAAAACAGATGTATCGAGTGAACTTATCAGCAATGCAAACATATATAGCAACTATGGTAGTAATGCAGAAAACGTAGAAAACAATGTAAACATCACTACAAACAGCATTAGTTGTTATACAAAATTGGATGCAAATAAAAATGATGCAGCTATCGAAATGAACAATAAAGGATTATCTTTTCAGAATAAGAATGAATATTCAACGAACCATGAGAAAGACATAAAAATGGACAAATGGAATGAAGAACAAGCCAGTATATCCATCGATATGGGCTCTAGTAATAATATGTCTAGGGTGCTAAGGGGAAAAAATATGTTTGAGTGTATAGGGAAAAAGCTAGTAAATAAGGTAAAAGATATGAATAATACAATAAGCTTAAATCAGTTTTTATTAAAAAATAACATAACATTTATATGTGCTTATCAGAGGGATATGAGCAGCTTAGAGGCAGGTTCTAATAGTAACATGGACACAGATAATACATCTAACAATGTTGAAATTGTCAAAGAGAAAAACGAGTCTGATGCAATGAACACGGTAATACAGGTTTACGACAAAAATCCAGATCTAGTCGACCAATGGAGAGGAACTACCTGCTCAATTAAATTCTTTTGTGAAATTTCGAACGAAATAGTGAGAAAGCTAAATAATAATAAATGTATTAGTACCATTAATAAACATCTTCCATATATTTTAAAAATTTGCTCAAGAACTTTCCATTTCTTAAGAGAAAAAAAACTAATAAATATATACGTAAAATATATGTACCTATATGAATACCTATACCACATGATATTAAACAGATTACTACATATTAGTACAATGAAGTCTCTTCCATTTTTGCAAAATATTATATTAAAAGAATTGCATTTTTATTTTGAACATTTTAAAAAAAGGAGAGTAAAGAATCTGTGGAAATTTTACTTTTATGCTCATACACTAATTGATATAAACAAAACGAACATAATTAATAAATTATTTCATAATAATGCTATTGAGTATTTTGTAAAGCTGTTCTACTCGTTGTCCTTCTACAACCCGGTGTTTTCTGTTCTTTTCCTCAAGCTCATCGAGGTACTTATACCATTTTTTGAAGCTATTAAAATGGAAGTATAAATGTATCAAGGAGACATTGCGCTATGAATTAGTCATAATATGTCTTCTACATGTAAAAAAGAAATAAAAATACGCTTATAAGATCATGTAACAAATGTCCTCTTTAGAAAATTTCTTCAAAAATATAAATATATATGTTCAGCATACAAAATTTTTTTCTCTTTTGCAGACACCTCTGTTTTATAAGAACATCGAAGATAAGAAGGCAGAAATTTTGCAAAATATATGGATGTAAGACTGAAAATGGGGCAAATATTAAACTTTTTTTTTTTATATTTTTTAGTGTGTACACCGGTACTGCTACTTCTGTTTCGTTAAATTATACTATGAGTAACAGGGAAATAAAAATTCTTTGATTTTTTTCTTTTTTCAGCGGGACACGTGAAAGATTTTTTGCAAATAATTCCGAATATAAGAAATACACCACCGAGGTATAGAAAAAAAAAAAAAAAAATTATTTTCTTTAGCTATATATTCAAAAATAAATCTTGCATTCCGTTCATCTCCATATACGCGCAGCATGCAAGTGCAACATGTACATGTAGCATGTACGTATAGGTGAAGTCAAACAAATATAGACATGTGTATGTATTCTCACCCACCCCATTTTTGCAACACTTTGTAGTATAAAATTTGGATCGATTCGTACAACAAGTTTCTTGAGAAATAATGAAAGAAGTTTATTCGATAACAGTGATATTTGCTTCTTGCAAATTTGGTATTATCCTTTTTAGTTTCTAATTTTGTTTCTAATTTTGTTTCAAATTTTGTTTCTTATTTTGTTTCTTATTTTGTTTATAATTTTTAGTTTCCAATTTTTTTACGTTTTTTCTTTTTCTTTTTTAATGTGGAATGAAAATATCATTTGACGAACTCCGTTCTACCTATGTTCGGACCCCAAGTCTGTTTCTGAATACTGAATTCGTTTATCCTATGTGTATACTTGTATATACATTTTTGTAATATTTTATTTTATATTTTTCTTATTAAATTTTACGTGCAGCTAATTTGTAATGTTATTTTATCTCTCTGGTCCTAACAAAAACCATGTCCTTATCTCATTTTATGTTTTTAAAATTATGCTATGATTTATGATGCTACATATGTGAAGGTCTTAATTTGAATATTTCTTTTTTTTTTTTCTTATTTTTTGTTAAACTCTTTTTGTTATCCCGATTCATTCATACAAATTAGTTACCGATGTATAATTGCTATTTGTAGCAAAAATATAAGTAATTTTATTTGATGAGAAATCGGGTATGTGATTTTTCTTCCTTTTGAAATATGCTTACCAGTTTACATAAAAAAACAATAAATTGAAACTTTACGCAAATGAACCTTTGCTAAGTTAACAGCTTACAAAGGATCATAAAACGTTTAGGTTGAGACTAACAAAAAGAGGGGAATGTACATAGTCGCAGCATTCAATATGCAGGAATTATTTATGAAATGTTTATAACTTTTTTTTTATTTCTTTTGACTGGGTGATAAATATATATATATATGATTTACACACCATAATACAAATTTTCAATTGGAATAAAAATTCAAAGGAAAAAAAAAAAATAAAAAAAATAAAAAAAAAAAAAGTTTTAGACATTTGAAATAGGTGGGGAGGTGTACGTAATAGTGTACAGGAGGTAGGTTAGAATATGTTTTAGAATGTACATATAAATATTTATATATATATATATATATATATATATATATATATATATATATATATATATATATATATATATACATATACATATATTCATATGTATATGAGGCTATTCCTTTGTTGCAAAAAGGTTTGTTTTTAATTCATAAAAAAGAAAAAAAGAAAGGAAAAGAACCTTCAAGTGGTGAGAGAAACGGACGGGGAAATAAAAAAATGTGCCATAAGCATTTATATTTAGTATAAGTACTAAAAGTGTTATTAATGACTTCCTTTTCGGGTTATAGTTTTGGGCAATGGTGCTTTTTTTTTTTTTTTTTTTTTTTTCCCTTATTCATAACTGAAAAGTAGTATATTTATGAATGAATATTTTTCTTGAAAAAAAATAAATGGGAAAGAAGCATATGTGAATATTCCATAATTTATACATATTCGCATGTATATATATATATATATATTATGTACATATGTATACAGGACTTTCACACTGCTTACTTATCGTAATACGAACAAGTACCAGAATAACGGGTACTCAGGAAGATTAAAAATATTTTCAAGAGTATCAGCAAAAATGAATTCCTAAAATGTATATAAGCAGATTATTGCATAGATATATGTATTAGAATATATGCATTTAGTACGCGGTACCTCTATCTTCATGAATACTCTATAAAAAATCCCAAGTCATGTACCTTTTTATAAGCAGTCCCGAATGAGGAGATAAGTTATATTCAAAAGTTATGAAATAGAGGAATTGAAAAAAAAAAAAAAAAAAAAAAAAAACTGTGTTCATATAATTTCTATCACTAAGAATTTGGGTGGAGTGACTGTTAAACTGACACGTTGAATATAGAAGCATTAAGAGAATGTAAATTTTATTTTTTTTTTTTTTTCCTTTTTCCAATTTTTTATATGCACCACTATGTATGCACAAAGATATGCATAAATATGTGCATAAACCAAGTTCATACTCATATAGGATGTTCTTACAAGGATCATTTGCAAAAACCGTATATGAGTTAAAATTCACATATATACTTATGCACAAATGAATGACCACATTTTAAATTAACAAAATAAATAAGTGTCCATACAACCTTTTTTTTTCCCTCCACAGAACAAGGCATTTCCCTGTGCTGTTCTACGCATGAACATTCGAATGAGACATAGGATTGCATGTTAATATATATGTTGCATGTATATATATATATATATATATATATAGGGACGCAGAAATACTCCCATAGGTGTGCAGTCCTATGAGGCAATGTAACTGAGGAAGTTACCCAAACAGCCTACTCGTAATTATAGATTTGGTTAGGAAAAAAAAAAGAAAAAATGTATAGAGGAGGTAGAAAGGAGGCTGTCAAAGGTAATTGCAATAAATATGAATGTATGAAAAGTAAAGATGAAAAGAATACACAAGGTGATACATCTATGTGTGTTAACATTTCGTATCACATCAGAAAATTATTTAGTTATTGTGATGCAGATATATTAAGGATAGAAAATAATTTGATCATATATAACAGTTTAATTGATAATATAAAAAAGAATGGAAATAAAATAATAAAAAAAGACGTGGAAAAAATAATCAGAGAAAAAGAAAAAAATGAAAAATACTGCTTAACCGAAATGAATGAAGAGGAATATAAGATAAATAATTTTGATTTAAAAAAAGTAGAACTGGATTTTAAATTTATTGAATGTAGTTTATGTTTTGAATTAATAAAATTTGTATGTGTACAAGAATGTAATCATACTTATTGTTTTTTATGTTTTTATCGTTTGTTATATATGCAAAAAAAAGAAACGGACGTAGAAAATAATCAAACCACAACAAGTACTTCTCGTGAAAATAACCGAATTTTCAATAATCGATATTTAAATTATGAAAATAATAATTCTCGTTTAGGTAATAGAAATGTTTACGCAAATCAAAATGATCATAGGGTGAGAGTAGTGGATGCATTTATAGACACTAATCAATTATATAATGATAGACGAAAGGATGGAAAAGATGAAAAATATAACTACGAATTTGATAAAAACACAATGAAATGTCCATTTTGTAAAGAGAAAAATGAATATATATTTTTTTGTTTAAATAATTTCTACACATACTTTACCTATGATAACTTGCTACACACACTTCTTGAAAAAGAAGATCATGAGCGTTATGTAAGTCAAGAATCAACTCAGCTTGTGGATCATAATGAAAATTATCCTAATAGGTTTGATATACATGAGAACAGCATGAGTAATACAATCCATTCGATTACCCATGCAGAGTGTACACACAACAGAGATGTAACAGAAAATAGAGGAAATATTTGCATAGTCAATACATGTCATCTTCGCAAGGAGGATGTTGCAAAAGGAATAAACACATTTGGAATATCAGAAAAAAGTAAAGAAAATAACACCAAGAGCAGAGAGAATTATTCTATGATTACAGAGAATAATACCAAGAGCAGAGAGAATAATTCTATGAGTACAGAGAATAACAACACTAACAATGAACATACAAATTTTATGACAAAAAATGATTTTAAAAAGGCGTTTTCGTCCCATTATGATGATATAATAATTTTAAGAAATATTTTAAAAAAAAATAAGAGCAATGGAAATGACGAGTCAAGCAACAACTTACTAAAAAAAAATGAAAACATGTACTTGTTTTTATATTATGAAAAATATATTAAAAGAAAAAGAGAAAAAATAAAATATTTGTTAAACGGATGTGTGAGTTCTGAAAAACGATATGCATTTTATTCGAAAATATTTGTAGATACAGAAAAGAAAATATTTTTCGAATATTTCTATATTTACAGTTTATCAACACTTTTGACAAGTTACGCATGTTTATTATCCCCATGTATTGAACATTGGATCCAAATTCAAAGCAAAAAAGTGGAAAAATATAAACAAAATCATAAAACAGATAAATATTTTCATCAGATTTATGTAAATAATGAAAGAGATATATTAAGAAAAAAAAACGATTCCATATATGATAAGTATCAACAATATACAAAAAAAATACATTATATAAAAGATGATGAATCAGAATTATCAGATGACTATTTCAGAGTTATCGATATTTTTTCAAAAGTATGTTTTACAAATTTAGATAATATAAACAATATAAATGTTTTAAAAAATTATTGCCACAAGAGATTAAATGATTTATGTAGACATATGAACGAACATAACAAAACATATTGTGATGTTTGTGTCGGTAACAGTGATAACATTTTTCTATTTGAATATAATATATTTTTTAAAAAATATATAAAAACACACATAGAAAATGGAGAAAAAATTGCAGAAAATAAGTTTAAAATAAGGCATATTTATTGCCACCTCTGTGGATTTTATCTCTACGATTTTGATACGTTCATGAACCATATAAATAAATATCACTTCTTTTGCAAGTTTTGCTTTAACAAAAAAAATATTAACGATACCAAGGAGTCGGAAAAAACGAACATGCAGGACGACATTGTATACTATGATCAGCTGCACTTGCATGTAAGTTGGAATGTAAACTGAATTGTGCATTGTCTGAACCATGTGCATAAAAGTCCATTCTTTTTCATCGGTTTTGTTGACTAACGTGGGATTGATAAGTATCCATTCGAGTATATCATGTGGGGGTTAATTGTACCCTACTGAACTTTTCTCCCACGGGGAAAAAAAAAAAAAAAAAAAAAAAGAGAGAGAGAGAAAGAGGGAGATAGAAAGAGAGAAAAAAATAAATAATTACAATAATTACAATACTCACAATAATCACAATAATCACAATAATCACAATAATCACAATAGTGTAATAAAAAGAGGAGCAAAAGTGACAATAAAGAAAAATAAAAAATTCCCCTTTTCACACAAACTCGCCGTCCTAACCCACATTTATAGGTTTACAAAGATTATGAAAATCTGTTTGAGCACTACAAGAAGAAACATCACCCGTGCTTGTACGAACAGTGCATTTTTGTTGTTTTCGACAATAAGATAGATTTGTGTTTTCACTTAGCGGAGAAACACGAGGAAAAAGGAAGTAACAAGAAAAATAAGATAACATTTTCCATAGCCGGTGCCTCATACAATGAAATAAGAAAGAACATACAAAGTGAAGGTGGCAGTATTAACACTGGTGCTAGTAGGCACAGTAACAACATAGAGAGGAATGTACAAACGGGTTCTACGAGTTTGAACAAAAACTGGATGGAAGAAGATTGTGTAGGAGAGACTACAGAAGATATTGACGTGAATAGACACAAATGCATATACAATTTTAAAAAATTTCATGACTCATGGTATTTTGACTATTTTATAGAATGCAAGGTTATGGATTTTTTAAAATATTTTAGCATTAATGAAAAAATTTATTTTTTATACATAATAATGAGAGATATGGAAATAATATTAAAAATATTTGAAAATTTGTGTAACAAGAAAAAGACTGAGTTATATTTTTCCCAAGAAGAAATAATAGAAGTAAACAAAAAGATAATAGAACAAGATTTTCCCCAAGACCGAAATAATTTTTTTCACGTAAAATTATTTTTCGATTATATAATTGAGAAAACAGAATATTTGCTATACAATAAAGAAGATTTAGAGAAAAATTACTTGCACTTATTTTTTAACATAATAATTAATAGATCTTTTATATTTTATTATTCCTTTTTTTATATGTACATCAAATCAAGACACATACGTCTAGACAAGGTAATCAACCATATCAGTTCAACAGGCAACACTACTACTGTTACTACGTCTGCTGATGGGATATTAGATGATCATGTTAAGGGAAATACAAATGCAAATAGCGTAAAAATAATGGACATTTTTAAGTGTGAATATGAGATAACTGAATTTAAGAAGCGGATAGAAGCAGATACTAACATTTCCCCAATAAAATTGAGTAAATATGGGTTCTTATATTTAGTTTTCTTTTTTTTTAAAATTGACAAACATGGGTTTGAAAATGTGTGTGCCTTAGTGAGAAATATTTCTAACGTGTGCAATCAGGTATATAATAACGCAGCAAATGATCTGAAGAAAGCAGGTGCTGCTCAAGCAGGGCGAGATAAGCACGTAGGGAAAAATGTACAGAATGGAGGAAAACAGAAATCCGATATTTTAAAAGGTAACACAGATAGCCATAAGAGTAGCAACATAATGATAGCGCTGCCTGCACGGCAACCTGAAAAAGTGAAGAAGGAATTAAAAAATTGCAATACATTGTTGGATGCAATTAACAGCAAATGTGATTTAAACGAATTGGAAGATATCAACCAACTAATTAAAAGGAGTATGAAAAGGAAAAATCCAAATAATAATATAATTAACAATATATATGATAAAAAATGGGATGTGTCGAAAAAAGTTGTTTTAGATTTGTTATATTATATAAAACCTAACTTAAATTTAGTTTCTTTTTTTTATTTATTTTTAAGTAATTATTTTTCTGCTTATATGAAAGAACCTTGTATTAATAAGTATATTAATATTTCCAGTGAAAATAAAAAAAAAATCATAAAGAGGATGATGTCGAACGATGCAGACTTGTCTTCTTTAACAAATATTTCAAAAAACTTGAGCTCTTTTGTTAATGCAAAAGCACTAGAGGAGTGTTTGTCCACGGGACCAGAGTATTATAGAATTAGAAAGGATATAGAAATTATTTTGCACAAATTACGCTCAGAACAAACGGAAAGGCGAAATCATCAAGATAGTACAGATAGGAAAGATAGTCTATATAAACGTGAAGACAATGATAAACTGGATAAGAATCGAAGTGGAGCAATGTGGAATAATAAACGAGACGGATGGAAAGAAAAACCTCAGAGAGAAAAAATATCACAATCGAAAACCATGGACGACATCAGATTGAATGTAAACCTGTATGATGTGTCACATTCATTAAGAAATCGATTTTTGAACATAATAAAAAGCACAAAGGTAAATGAACTGTACCTTATTTATTTCTATGTAAGTACCATCTTATCATCTAGTAATCCCTCCTCTACTACTGTACCAAAAACGGTAGAAGAATTTCCCATGCTAAAAGAGAAAGTCAAACGTATTGATGAATCATATGGAGTAGAAACCACTTCTATGAATGCCATTTCGAGTGGATTATCTCAGGGAAGTAAGAGTACGAAGAAAAATACAATGAATTCCACAAGCAGGAGTGTGGGAAGAAAATGTGCATCAGTAGGAAGAAATAATATTACACCATCTATAAGCTCAAGTTCGTACAAAAATAAAGTCGATAAAAAAGAGGAATTTTCAACAAACTCTGCGAAAGTAAATATAGATTTTGAATTTCCTCCTTTGCCGGATCAGAAACAGGAAGAAATGGTTTCCCAAACGCCATCAAAAAGTAGTGGTAAAAAAAAAAAAGTAACTAAAGAACTTTCTCAAATTGTAAAGAATGTTGTGACTACAGATAAGATTATAACCAATAAGGTCATAACTAACAATGTGAAGAAAAAAAAAGAAAATGAATCTAGTTTTGAAACAACGACCAAAAATAATAGGAGAACACCAGATTTTAATTATACCAATTTTCCACTGTTACCCACGAACAACATAGATTCTAATGAAATAAAAAATAATAAAACTAAAAATAAGAAGAGTGAAGAAAAAGTAAATAAGAACAAAAAGTCTATGTCCATCATCATGTCTAAAGAAAAGACGACATATTCACATAAAAACAAGAACGAACGTGATATTCAGAACATGTTTAATAGTTTACAAAATTCCTCGTCTCCCATTTCTCTAGGCTGTGTGGATGGAAACAACAACAAAAAACAAAACGATATTAATATTATAAACCATTCAATTACTAACAATGTGAATAATAAAAATAAGACATTGAAGCAAAAGGGAGAAAGTTCTAAAAATAAAAATAATATTGACGATCATGTTTCTCCTCTTTCCTCCTTCCCACATAAGAATATGTCATACTTAAGTGTGTCTGAAAGTAATGTTACTTATACGATTAAAAGGAAAAATAAGTTAAAGAGATGTAACATGTGTACATACGATAATCCCCATGAGCGAACGAGGTGTGAGTTGTGTGAAAGTCCCTTGTGAGATTTGTAAGTTCCTCAAATTGGCAAAGGACGAAGGAATAAACCCAAATTACCATGGCTACACAGTGTGTGCTCCTTACATATACCACCCATTTATTCAGCTGAATTACATTTGTATGTAAACACTGAGATGTTCAAATATTGAAAGGAATTTTAGGTAGCTGTAGAGAGAAGGCATTATCATTTCTCCTTTGAGTCTTGGGCAGTTCTTTTTTTTTTTTTTTTCTTCTTTTTCTAATTATATGTATTTTTACGGAAGATGAAAATGATAAGATAAAAATAATATACTTACAGAGTGAAAAAAGAAAAGAAAAAAAAATTATATATATATATATATATATGTAAAATTTGCTTATAAATTAAATCGCGTACGAGACATTCAGCCGCTTAACAAAAAAATAAAATAAACAAAAGAGTGAATCTATTTCACACTTTTGTGAATATGACACATAAGATGCAATTTAATTTATCACAATAAAATTCATCTCAAAAATGCACACATCCTTTTGTTGTTTTTAGACCGTATGCATCTTTTACAACAACAACGACAACAATAAAAAAAAAAAAAAAAAGAATTAACAAAGTAGGGTGGCAAAAGTGTAAAATCTATATGCACCTATTTTTCATACCAACTATATGTTATAATTTCATCCATCTTAATGTTTCGTATGTTTAAAATTCATATTATATATAATAAATGTCCTGTGCTTTTCACATACTTAATACAACCATTGTTTTTCTTGTGTTTCTGTGTTGAGTGTCTGTATGGATAATTGACAATTTATTTGTTAATTTTTTTTTTTTTTCTGTTTTTTCCTATTCACGTATGGAACGCTTTAAGACTATATCAAAAGAAAAGTGCATGCCAGATATTGCCACACCCCTAACTGTTTTTAATTCGATTGGGGCTGAGGGGGTTGTTTTTTCCTTCCATTTTCCATGTTTCTGTTATTTTATTTTACTTTTTTTCCTTGTTACGCCCATAAGGGACGGTACGCCCTTATTTATTCATTTCGATTCAGCTGTGTTTTTTTTTAAGATAAAACTGTGATTTATTTACTATTAAACTACCATTTGTTTAAGATAAAACTGTGATTAATTTACCATTTCAACTGCCATTTGTTTAAGATAAAACTATGATTTATTTACTATCCAACTTGGCTTTATTTACATTTTAATTATGACCTATATTTCATCCGGTATGCTCGTCTACATGTCACATTCACCTTGCAGCAGCCCGTGTCCGCTTTTGAAAGAATTAATACCATGATTCGACTATAATAGAAAAATCGTCTAGCTTTTTTTTTAAAAAGGAATTTATATCCTCCATTGTTCTGTGCTCTTCCTTATTCTTGATGATGTTAGCAAAGACCTTAATTAGGTTTTGAGAAAATGGGCGTGATTTCCCCGACACCAAAAATATGGTATTTGGTTGTGTTATAAGTTCGTATATGCAATTTTGCATAGCCAGAACTATGTCAGTTACGTAAATTTTTTTCTTCTTTTCTTTTAAAAGCTGTTTTATGTGTTCATACTTGATGTGAAGGTGGCCATTTGAACTCAGTGCAGGGGTGCAAGAACCATCAGAATCAGCATCAGCACCAGCATCAACACCAGCATCAACACCAGCATCAACATCACCACGATTTAACTCTGCATCCATGTTAAAGAAGAAAAAGTTATCATCCTCTTGTCTCGAAAAAGCCACAAATATGTAATTAAAATAAACAAAGCTACTTAGCAAATTTTGAAAATAAAAGTCGTGTGTTTTGTTGCGAAGTCCTAGAAAGATAAAATCTTTTAACAAAGAGTTAACGATCCTTCCCGATTCCCTTTTTTTTGGTTTCCCCTTTTTCGTGCGCATCTGTGTAAGTCTGTTTTTTGTGTGTAATGAATGTCGATATTTGATGATTCCCATGAAGCTACTAAAAGATGAACCCGTGGAAATATAAACAATTCGATAATTTAAATTAAGTATATTTTTATTTATCCATATGAGGCTATCTTGTATTTGACCATAAATAAATGATCCTTCTTTTGAATTGATTAAATAATCCGAACAAAGACCTACGATTTTTTTATTTCTATTTATTTCTACCTCGTATAGACATACTAATAATTCTATTATGTTATTCATACTACATGCTAATTTACTCCTAATAAAGTTTTGATATTTTAATGTACGATTTGTTAACATCTCCCTTGTGTATCGAGATAAAATATTTTCTCCTCTATTCCTTTTTATGTAAAAATTCATTTTTAAAATTCGAAGAAGAGATGAAAAATATGGATTCACAGTATCAAAGTACAATTGGTATGGGTTAAAATTCTTTTTTAAAAAATTATAATGTCCTTTGGGATTCATTATAGAATATGATCTTTCTTGTATATTTGGAAGAGTGTTAATAAGAAAGGGTACATCAATATTTATATAGTTGTAAAAATCAAAGAATATATCATAGTATGATCTTTTGTCTTGATAAATGTATGAAAAATAATCTGAAATTTGGTTCGTATCAGCTAACTGTAAAAATTTCTTTTTGTGAATATCGCTCTTAGTTCTTTTGCTAAGAAATGCAAAAAAGAAAGGTGTGACTAATTTGCTTAAATCTAGAAAGTACATAAACAAATGCAATATTTTGATCTTTTTATTAAATGGAATAACATCGTTCATGCTTCTTCTACTATTTATATAGTTATTCTGAATAACCACATATTCATCATAATTAATTTTTAACACCTTTAGTATATCTCTCGTTTTATGTTCGTTTAAAAATGGATGAACATTTAGTAAACTGCTTACGTTAAAGGATAAACAAGGAGGTGTCACCAGATTGATAAATCTCACATCTTGATAATAGGATTCATCTGTGCACCTCTCATTTTTCAGAATTTCAAATTTACATAGTTTTAAATGATTGCAAAAATATTCATCCGGAGAAAAAACCTCATTATTCTCAGAGATACTGTAAACTCGTATAGGAGTACTTCGAGCACTTTTCGTACATAATAACCCGCTGTTCATGTCTACTTCATTTTCTTCTTCTTCTTCTTCTTTGGGAAAAACTGTTTTAGATTGTTCTTTCACTGCCGTGCATATGTTTGATGCAACAGTGGGATAATACACCCCACATATATTCTCTTTTTCATAAGTAGGATTATTAACTTCTCCTTGAATGTGGCTATATATATTTTTTTTTTCTTGTGTGTTATTGGTATTTTTTTCGGGATGTTGACAAATGTTCCTTATGGTGTACAAGTCCGGTATATCTTCATTTAATTCAAAATAAGAATATTTGTTCATCAAGAATTGATAAACATTATTTTTCCATATTTGAAAATTTGAAAAATGCATAGATGGATGCTGATAATTTCCTAAATGGTAATTAACAATATTTGCATTTAACGATTTTAATTTTTTTTTTAATTTCTTTGCTACTATGTTGTAATTATCATATGCGCTATCACCCAATCCGAATAAATGGAAATATATATTTTCATAAAATCTCATATTAGCTTTATGCAAAGCAAGCCAAAACTTGGACATATTCTGTGTATAAGAACCATACCCTGTTGTGCTTACAATAATAATAACATTTTCGTATCTATAAAGGTTCATTATATTTATATCATTCATACAAAAGAAATCAATGTTAAAATTTCGGTACAATTCATATAAAATATTTCGACAGCAATCGTATGCAGTGCCATATTGTGAACCATAAAGTAGCAGAATATTTTTTTTCTTTTCTATTTCTTCCATGCTTGTCGATCAGTCTTCTGTGCCCTTCTTGCATCCCACCAATAGTGCATATATAAAATGATGAAGTGCATGCGGTGGGAAATTAGAGGCCTCTAAGGCTTATGGGAGATTGAGCCGTGGACTGCTCAAACGGGTACATGCACATAAACACATACACACATACGCACATACACACATATATATATATATATATATATATATATATGCATGCATATTTATACATACTCTCTTCTTCACTCCTTTTCATGGGCACGTGATGATCTATCTCAGAGCCGGTCTTGAAGCAAGTGAAAATACATCTTAGAACATGCATGAAAACACATTTGATGCTCCATATCTTGATAATATTTTTCTAATTTTCTTTTTTTATTTTCGTGAAAATTTATGTTATTTTTTGTGCTGACATTTTTATATTCTTCTATGTCTCTTTCAAATCGCTTGTATAAATTCTCTTTACATGTGGTATAACAAATTGCTTGACTCTCTGTAAATGTTTTTAATACATTTATGTTTTCTTTTTCTTTATGGATAAGCGAAACGCCCAAATGATTTTCTTTTTCTTCCTTTGCCTTTTTAATTATTTCTGAGATTTCGTCGATATTTTTGCTTCTTAAATCATTAAATCCTTTCAATCCTGAAGGTAAGCAAAGGAACATGAAATTGGGAATCAACGGAGAGCAAAACAGGATATGCTTCCAAGGATGGGCATACAAAATGATCAATCGGAAAATAAAGAAACTACACTAAGCATGTCCAAACATATATCCATCACTTTTTAAATTAGAAAAACCTCTAATTCTGTGCGATCATGCAGACAGCCCCTCATACGTCGTTTCAAGTTAAATAATGTTTTTATTTATCATTTATTTTTTTTTTTTTTTTTTTTTTTTTTTATTTTGTTCTATATTGTTTTATTGTGTTACATTTTTTGTTTGTCATACATAGAACAATCTGTATATGGAATCAAAACAATGTACATTTCAATACCTGACGCTAGGTCACAATTTGGGGAAATTATCATGATGATTAAGAGCGACAAGATGGTGATCTAAATTATAAACATGTTGCAAGATTTTATTTGCTATATGTATATATATATATATATATATATATATATATATATATATATACACATATATTATGTGTTCATAATATAGATGATGTGTTTGCCACGGGTTAGCACAGAATTGGTGGAGTAATTTTATCTTCACGGGAAAAGTGTGAAAAAATTCAATGCTTCAAAAGAATTCAGTATTTTATAACGCCACTCCATCAGGTTATATTAAAAATTGGGTGCAAGAACTATGGCGTGGTAAAGCTGCTGGAGCTGGATTGTTTTATAAACACTACCCTTTTCCTATATAATATGAAATCCAGTTCACATCTCCAATTTGGTTAAAAGGTTTATCTTTTATTTTCTGATCATAATGGAAACTTTTTCTATATAAAAGAAATTTTTTTTTTTTTTTCCCTTAATTTAATTTTATGCTATGCTGTTCTTCTCCCTCGATTGTTGTAGTGAGGAATAATATAATGTACATTTAAATATCCTCCGTTTTGGTAACATGCTCATGAAACGACATGCGTGTTTATTCAATAATGTAAAGGCAAAAATATGTTGTTGCGTGTTGAAGTTGAAGGAAATGTTGTAATTTTTTTTTTCTTTCTTTTTTCATAATTTTAACACGTTTCGAATTCTTCACAGCTGCAGGAGATATAATAAAAATGAAGAAAAAGCACTCCCGCCTTTTACATTCGTATGCAATTGTTTTTTCAGAAGTTAGGCATGCATATGTACAAAATATGTGCTTTCGGAGTGTACATAAAACATGCCATAATATATATATGTATACATACATATCCAACTCAAGTTGCGCGGGGAGGAGGTATGAAATTTTTTTTCTTTTTTCCTTGTCATTCAGAAATTTTTAATTCTTCACATTTTTATTCTTCACTTTTTTATTTTTCCTTTTTTGTTTTTCCTTCTTTGTTTTTCCTTTTCTGTTTTTTCTTTTTTATTTTTCCTTTTTCTCGTTTTTCCTTTTTTATTTTTCCTTTTTTTGTTTTTTATTTTTTTGTTTTTTCTTTTTTTATTTTTCTCATTTCTTTTATTCTATTTCCTCCTTGCAGTCTTCTGCATTCCCCAATTCCCAACGCATGATTCTTTTTTGCAAATGACATTTTCTCATTTTTTCGAAAAAGTGCGTGACAAAAGAAATTAATAAAAGCATTTTTTCACACAGCGAAAGCCAGTATATAATACGGATATACATTTTTTTTTTTTTTTTTAAACATACATAATATTCACATATATATAATTTGAGGTGAATTTAAGGTCTTACTGATGGCTTATATTAACAATACGCATAGGATTAAATGTATTATATAAGTCCTAAGCGTTATGCGTCACAAGATGACAAATTATGTATTCCCTAATTTTGCAATTCAGATGCATTTTTGCTGCATGTGATAAAAGCAGGAAGTAAGTAATGCATGTTTTATGGAATAATATAATTTAAGCAAAGTTAATTGGTTCGTCTCAGTTTGGAATATACACATATGCAAAGCTATTTTATGAATATACAAGCGTGTATACATTATAATGAACAGCACTTACACATTTGTAAACAACTTATAGACATGTCCATCATATACACAATAACAATACTAACTGTTTTGATGATTAGCAATATTGACACAACAACAGATATATTCCTACGGATAAGAGATATAAATCAAACGAAGGGATTAAAATTACACCAAAAAAGTTCATATAAAAATGATAAAGAATTGCGAAAAGGTATATCGCATTAGAAAGAATAAAAAAATGGACATGAAGAACAAGTTCATTTGTTTTTGCTCGAAAAAAATTGTAACACTCTTTTTTTTTTTTTTTTTTTTTTTTTTTTTTTCATCTTTTATTAAGAGTACAAGCCATTTTGTTTCTTTGTAAAAATTGTATAAATACACACAAGTATTCTCAGAACAGTATAAAACGGGGAAACACATATATATATGCTCGTACATAGTTGATTGCTTATCCTTTATGTATTAAATTTTTTTTCGTTCATGGCATTGAGCTTTATAAAACTCCAGAGGTAGGAGTGGTGGGAATTATCTCTCTTGATTTTGTCTAAACGTGAAAAGAGTCTATATTCTGTGTTTCCCCATGCGTGACGAAAGCGGAATTGGCTGCGTGCAGATAAAATTATAACATTTTAATTTCATTTTATTTCGTTTCATTTTATTTCGTTTCATTTTATTTTATTTCATTCTATTTTATTTCATTCTACTTTATTTCATTCTATTTTATTTCATTCTACTTTATTTCATTCTATTTTATTTCATTTCTTTCTAATCTTCCATTTTGAAATTCGCGGAAAACGCAAACCCGCCAAAGTCATCCTTTCTGTGATGCTGCTTACAATTGGACACTTTCCAATTTTACCACACCCTTGTAATCCAGCATTGTAAAAAGAAGCATAAAAAGTAGGAAGATAATAAATTGATAGAATCAGTATTAAGGTTACACATAGATAGGTGTAATTAGCATGGATACATCCTTATAATCCCTCCTAACTCCTGCATATCGTGTAATCAAGATATTGAAACCAATAAGCTGGAAGAGTCAAAATAGAGGTGGTTATCATTCTACATTCCCAGTAGTATAGACATTGATTTCAAGAGTAATAAAAATAAGCAATAAGAGACAATAAATATAGGGGCTTCTAAAATCGTGTAGTATATATGCCCTCAATTGGCTATAAAATATTAGCCCATAATTAGATCTTGAGAAAATGGTGCTAACTGAATTAGGAACACAACTGACGAGTGCACTTCAAAAACTACAAGCATCTACTGCAGCAGATGATACTGCTATTGAAGAATGCTTAAAAGAAGTGATAAGAGCTCTTATTCTTGCCGATATAAATATTAGTTACTTGAAAGACATAAAAAGTAATATAAAAAAAAATATTGAGAAAAATATAGATTTATATGGAAATAATAAAAAGCGATTAGTACATCAATATGTAGTTGAAGAATTAATTAATTTACTGGAAGGAAAAAAAGAATCCTATATTCCAAAGAAAGGAGGTAGGAATGTAATTTTATTTGTTGGACTACAAGGTAGTGGAAAAACAACTACTTGTACAAAATTTGCTCATTATTATCAAAAAAAAGGATTTAAAAGTGCATTAGTATGTGCAGATACATTCAGAGCTGGGGCATTCGATCAGCTGAAACAAAATGCTGCAAAGGTAAAAATTCCATTTTATGGAAGTTACTCAGAAGTAGATCCTGTTAAAATTGCAAGTGATGGTGTAAACGCATTTTTAAAAGAAAAATATGATTTAATTATTGTCGATAGTTCAGGTAGACATAAACAGGAAAATGAGTTATTTGAAGAAATGAAACAAGTTGAAAATTCAATTAAACCAGAAGATATTGTTTTTGTTATTGATAGCCATATTGGACAGAGTTGTCATGATCAAGCAATGGCTTTTAAAAATTCAGTTACCTTAGGTAGCATAATTATTACGAAGATAGATGGACATGCAAAAGGAGGAGGTGCATTATCAGCAGTGGCATCTACTGGGTGTCCGATAACTTTTATTGGTACAGGTGAACATATTAACGATTTTGAAAAATTTGAAGCAAAATCTTTCGTTTCTAGATTATTAGGGTTAGGAGATATTAATGGCCTTGTATCTACCCTAAAGGAAGTTATAGATATTGAAAAACAGCCACAATTAATTAATAGATTATCCAAGGGAAAATTCGTATTGAGAGATATGTATGATCAATTCCAAAACGTTTTTAAAATGGGGAGCTTAAGTAAGGTGATGTCAATGATACCTGGCTTTGGGAATAATATAATTAGTAAGGGCACAGAAAAAGAAGGAATTGAAAAAATAAAAAAATTTATGGTTATAATGGATTCTATGACAAATGAAGAATTAGATTGTATAAAACCTCTTAATGATAGTAGATGCTTACGAATTTGTAAAGGATCAGGTACAAGGCTTCAAGACATAAGAGAACTACTAGAACAGTTTAAATTTTTAAAAAATATGGTATCCAAAATGGGAAAATTAGGCTTAAGGGAAAATAATTTTGGTTCTTTAATGCGAAATCAAAAACAGATTCTAAGTAAAATGAACAACTTTATGGATCCAAATATGTTGGGGCATATGGGTGGCCCAAATAATATGGTTAACTTTTTGAAGGAATTTACGAAAATGGAAGATTTTGGTGGTTCAATGTCTAACATGATGAAGCAAATGGGGCTCAAGAAGTGAGACAAATATATATATTGGTCTGTTTTACCATTACTAAGTTCTAAATCATCATAATCTGCAATGTTTCTTTTTCATTCTATTCATCTTAGAAGGTTTGCAAGATATGTTTAACGTATAATAATATATACTATCTTCCTGGAAATGATAACTGAAAAATAGGAAATTTTTTTTTTTTTTTTAATACGAACTTGACAGAGAGCCATATTATATGGGATTGCTTATCCATTTCCAATATGTAAAATTTTGCGAAATCGTATTGTTAGTATATCATTATGTATAGATATAAATAAATCGCTCACATGATCTTATTACAGTTAGACACCAACATTAGAACATTATTTACATATTCATGATTCAAGTTAGAAATTCACCATTAGATGTATTTTAACTAATGTTTTGATAAATATTTGTTCATATAGAATAGGTGCGAACAGAGAGGTATAAACTTTGCTGTAAATTCCTTTCACATCCCACCACTCCTGGTTGTTTAATAAAAAAAAAAAAAAAAAAAACAGGAATCGAATATACATATCCCTACTCGATGCACACTCCCGAATGCGCGAATAAAAGATGGGAAACCACATCATCCTCCAACGTTATGCATATGGTCGATTTATTATATTACATGTTTGCGTACAAAAGGTGAAAAAGTGTGGCCACATAAGGATACCTACATGTGTATATAATACATATACATACATGCATACATATATACATAAATACACGCATACATGTGCACATACATACGTACACACATGTGTGTGTTTTTTTTTTTGTTTTTGTTTTTAATTTTTCCCTACTGATATGATATAACTTGGGTATTTTTCCCTTCTATATAATATACTTTTTCTCCCCCTTTCCCCAGTTTGTAAAACTTTTAAAGACATTTAAATTGAAACAAAAAGAAGACACTCTATTTTATGCTCTCTGCATATGTCAAGGGGGTCGGGACACACACATTTAAGTGGTATGTCGGATGCATATAAAATCCCACAGAGTGGCATATCCTTAGTTCTGTATGTTAGAGGAATGTTAACGACATAATAATATGGTAATGTTAAGGAAAATTTTAGCGTTAATTATACCTTAGCAATGTGACACAAATAAGACGTAATTTTCACTACTTTTATGTTAAAATTGCTCTAATTATTTTTATGGTAAAATAGAAAAAAAAATGCCAGAAAAAAAAAAAAAAATTTTTAAATGAGCAAAGCAATTCCCCACCAAGATACTTAATATAACTGGTAGTGTGTAACTTGCTAAAATATGAATGAGTTGTAAATTTGGTGCTATAAAATGGAAGGGTGGAAAGGAGGAACAGGTTAGAAGAAATGCATAAAAAGTAAATAATAAATTTCAAATAAATTGGAAATTGAAATAATCAAAAAAGATAAAAAAAAAAAAAAAAAAGGGTTTAAAGAAAAGAAAAAGAATAATGGGTATTTAAAAAAAGGTCTTAAAAAAAAAAAAAAAAAAAAAAAAAGGGGGGATGTGTTGAATAATAGGTAGGTGTTATCAATCCAGGGACTCGGATTAAACAAAAAATTGTAGAATAACGGAAATTAAAATTAAGTAACAACGGGATAAACAAGGTTTTATTTAAGGAGGAATTATATATATACATAGGAACATTTATAAATATATACATATAGGTATGTTTATTTCTGTAAAATAGTTCTGCACATGCACGTTCGCATATGCATAACCCCCTTTCGTAGAAACTTCATCCACCCCCACAAGTGGGTTTTTCAAATGGGGAATGGAATGCATTAATAAACTACACTAATTATAACATTGAAAAGAAAAAAAAAAAAAAAAAAAAAGAAAAAAGAAAGGTCTAATTTGTAATTTTTTTTAAGAAAAATGTATATTTTTTTTTCATATTGGCGAATGAGTCTTTTTCTTTTTCAAAGGATTTGTCTTTTATCTGATTTTCTTGGAATTCATTGTCCTGGGTGTTACTTCTTTTTTTATCCAATCTTAATTTCCTGATAAGAGGAAAAAACGTTAAGCACTTTTTTTTTTATCTCAAAGTAAATAAAAATTTCTCTTAATGTTCAGGCTGATTCACAAAATGGCGACGCGATGAATGGTGATAAAAAATTATGAATAAATGAAAAATCCGGTAAAGTTGATATGTCATATAAAGGAAGAAGACGAGGAAGAAGAAGAGGAAGAAGAAGAGGAAGAAGAAGACAAAGTTGGTGATGGAGTAAAACATGCTCTTTTGGATTACTTTATATAGGAAGCCGAATTAAAAATTTTGAATTCACAACTCGTGAGCGTTCCTCGTATCCACCGATGGTTTAAAATGTCAGAACACTGCAAAGGTTGGGGGAAGTAATAACATTGTATAAATGTATATTAATATATGTTCATCATATATATATATATATATATATGTACAAAATAGGGGAGGAACAAATAAATGAAAAACTTGACAAGCTTATTTAAAAAAGTCTGGCACTGTGCACACATAAAAATTTTTGGGAAAAACGAAAATGTATATATACATGTGAGACAAAATAAAACTTCACACAACTGTGCATATTTATATAAACACGACAACAATTTCCCCCCTTTTTTCTCATTTCACTTGTATTGGTTTTTTTTTTTTTTTTTTTTTTTTTTTTTTTAGTACGCTAAATCTTTTTTCAGGGTCATGCACTAGAATATTTTCCAGTAAATTTTTTAAGCCTGGTTGGATATTCAGGGATTTTTCCTTTGACAGTCTGCGTTGGGAAGAACGTTTTCAAAGAGGGTATTTTGTGTATGTATGGAAATGGAAACAAAATGTGTAAAATATTACGTTGAATTGGATCAATAAAAACAAAAAAAACATAACACTTGGAATGACGAGCACACACACGCACAGTCTCACGAATACATGTGAAACGAATATATGGAAGAAAAATACGTTTCTCTTATACATACAGTTCTGGGATGTTGGCCTTGAGGATATTGTTGTATAATTCATTAGCATTTTTCCCTGTAAAGGGAACTTTTCCTGTTATTATAAAAAAAATAAGAACCCCTAGGCTCCATATGTCAATCTGCAAAAGAAACGAGATGAAAGTTAGTAGTGATGAATGATGAGATGGTGAAAATTACGTGATATGCATGAGAAGCAGTTTTATTGTAAAAATATGTAATATAAAAACACTCAAAAATATGTTGCGTAAAAATCAATATATAAGAAATCCATTCATGATATAGAACATGACATGGAGAAAAAAAAAAAAAGCATCATAAACTTACCTTTATCCCATATTCTTTATTCTTTATAATTTCAGGAGCTAGATAAAAATCACTACCACAGACAGAACGACTTTTGACAACTGCTTGATTGGATGGAGTTATTTTGGCCAATCCAAAATCAGACAATACAACACTTTTAATATTATCTTTAGTTCTGAGTAAAATATTTTCTGGCTTTATATCTCTATGCATAATTTTTAAAGAATTAATATACTGAATTGTTTTTGCTAATTTAATAATAATAACCCTAGCTTCTGAATGCGTGCAACTTCCGTTAATTTTTATATACTCAAAAAGGTTTCCTCCTTCACAGTATTCCAGGATTAATTTTACAATGTAGTATTCTGAGTATGGGCAGAAAATGTATCAAATGAGAAAAAAATGAAAAAAAAAAATAAAAAAAATAAAAAGAATATAAGTATTCACACAAACACACATATGTATAGTTTCTCTTTCTATTTATTTTTTTTTTTTTTTAATTTTTCCTGCTAACTCTTCCAAATTTTTTCGTGATAATCAAGTATTTTAACAATATATGGATGTTTGTTATTTATCGTTTTCATTATAAATAATTCCCTCTTAAAGCAATTGTAGTGTGAGGTTTTCTTCAAAGGGCAGCACATTAACTAGGATAGCGGGGAATGGGGGTTTGGAGAAATGTAACTAGTATGAGTGAACGTTTACAAAAATGATATATATGTCACAAAAAGAAAAAAAAATATGTAACTTTGCAACGGTGTATATACCCGTTAGTATATGAAAAACGCACATCTCTTCTTTTTCCTTCCTTTTTTTCCCCTTTTTTCTTACCTTCATTGCACATTTTTTTTTATTTTCTCCTCGACAACAAAACACCTTTGAGAAGTTACCACTACAAAGAATGAAAAGTGGACAAATGTTAATTTTCTGTTATATACAAACTCATGGATTTAAGAGCAACAAAAAAAAAAAAAAAAAAAAAAAAAAAATATACTGCACAAAATGAACGTCCAATATATTTGCAACGAAACATCAACAGGGCACATGAACTAATGAGTTGCAAGCTGTATGTATAATACATAAGTAATGCATTTTATTACTCCCCAATTTTGTTAATAATTTTGTATTTTTTTATGAACTCCAAATTCGAATCATGCTCCTCATTTTTCTTTTGTCTTTTATTCTCGGACGAATCATTTTTTACGTTTTTATCTGAATAGGTAAATGATGAAATTGAAAGTAAATATAATATATGCATGCAAATGTTACGAAACTGGATTCATTCATTTGTGAGGAATACAAATAATTTAACATGATCACATATAAAAATGTATGCTAGAGCATACGTAGATGATTTTTTTTTGGATTAGGCTGGTGGAAACAAGTCTGGACTCATAAGTGTAATTTTTTACACTCACATTTTTGAATGTTTTTCATTATTTTGTTTTTTTTTTTTCATTACCTGAATTGTTTTTTCTTTTACTTAGAGTAGTCCCCATGTTTTATGCTTTTTCTTTTTTTTTTTTTTAAAGAAACAAAAATTATTCATAATAAATTACCTCCCCCCCCCCAAAAAAAAAAAAAAAAAAAAAAAAAAAAAAAAAATAGATAATTTAATAGAAAAGATACCAAATCATATTGGCTATGATTTAAATTTTTTCTATTTACATGTATACAACTTGAATGCAACGAGATTCGCTCATTGTTTTTTTCCCAGAAGCGAAAATGAGACGAAGAAAAAAAAAAAAAAAAAAAAGAAAAGCTAATGGATGGTGTATTACTCAAGGGGAATATATGAATTCTTTCAACCTAGGGAAGAAGAATTCTATTCGTTTCGTTCTGTATATAAACAAAACAAGATGATGGATGCAATGGAAAACGGTACTTAAAATAAAAGATATACTTCGCGAGTACTCATGAATGGGCTATACAGACTATATGCATATGCAAACTACACATATCTCATTCGATAAAAAATATAAGCGTGACAACGGAGGAAGAGAGGATAAAATACGAACATTTCAATGTGTTATATAGAATAGGACATGAGTCATAAAATACCATTTATCATCATTTAAAAGGAGATTCAAATAATATAGAGAAAAAAAAATATATACGTCTGATAATTAAATATTTGAGTGTCGATAGCTTATTAAAATAAAGTGGTATTGAAGGAAAAAAAAAAAAAAAAAAAAAGCTGCTTGTGTGTATAATCTCGTGGTAATTCGATTCATAATATATATATATATATATGATATATACACATGTATGTACCCCCTCTTTTGTACATACACAAATGAAAACAGATGATAAAAAAAAAAAAATTTCCTTTATAAATATTTATATTTTTTTCAATTTAATAACCAATTGTTACTAAATATTACAAATATATAAATATCTTTATAAGCACCACACACACAAAAAAAAAAAAAGATAAAAAGAAAAATACATGTAGGTTGAAAAAGTATTCGCAAAGAAGAATGTGGTGACATGGATGTAAGGTACAAAGAATGGAGAATTAAAAGAAAGGACAATGGTAGACATAATAAAACAACAGTCAAAAAAAAAAAAAAAAAAGAAAAAAAAAAAAATTAAATACCTAAAGCATTTCTGTTTGTAAGACGAAGAAAAAGTTAGAAAAATAATACTAATTTAGTAAACCTTCTTCGGGATGCTCATTTAAATTAGTACTGAGCACGAAGATGAGCTCAGTGTATGTGCAGCTTAATTTGTATAGCACGCACGAATTAAGCAGTGTTAATGTATTATGTGTAAAAACACTTAAATTCCATGAGGGGCAGAATATGTAATTAAAGTACGATTTACTAGTAGAACATTGAATGTAATGTGTACGAAAAAATGAAATCAAAATGGGAGAAAAAAGAATGTAATGTGTGTGAGAAATATAAATCAATGTGAGAAAAAGGTGAAGCAGAGTGAAAAAGAGGAGAAGTAGTGTGAAAAAGAGGAGAAGCAGTGTGAAACAGAGATGAAGCAGTGTGAAACAGAGATGAAGCAGTGTGAAACAGAGATGAAGCAGTGTGAAACAGAGATGAAGCAGTGTGAAACAGAGATGAAGCAATGTGAAAAAGTGATGAATGCAAACTTCGCAATAATTGAATGCTAAAAAGTAAAAATTGCAAAGAATAGGAAATTTTAATGCACAGAAAATTTCCTAAGTCGTTATTTTTCCAAGGCAAAAAAAAAAAAAAAAAAATTATACGCAGGGGGGAAATTACGAAATTGGTAAAAGCTTAGCAGCTTAGATGTTCATTCAGTGAAAACAATAACGCTTTAGGCATTTAAAATGATTGGAAGTTTTTTTTTATCGTTTTTATGTTATATACAAATCGATAAACAATTCATCTACCCGACGCCTAGTGGTTAAATGAAAATGCATATAACTAACGTTATTGTATATTTTCACATGTAAAATGTATAAATGTTTATATATATATATATATATATATATGTATATTTATATTTGCCTTTTTAGCTATATACAAACACATGAAAAAATGAATATTTCATTATTATTGATTTTATCTTCATTAATTAGTAAAATTAAATTCAGATTAATTACCGTAAAAAATTTTAAATCTAAAAAATAATTTTTTTTTTTTTTTTATTTTTTTTTTGTGAGATTAAAAAGAAAGAAAAAATTTAGAGGATAAAGTGATGAAGAACATATATAAAATATTTTTTCAACAGGATTAGGCAAATATGTGAAAGTATAACAGTTCGTCATTTTTATATATATACGCGAGTATGTACATAACATGTAATACTAGTGCATATATATGTACTAACATGCACCAAATATATACATATGTATATATTTGTATATCTGTATAATTTATATACGCGAATTCACAAACACTGAACATAATATAACGCTAGTTTAATTACGCCATTTTCTTATATTATATTCAAATGAAAAGATTTATAACTGAAAGAAATCCCTTTGCGTTATAGGTTATATATAATATTAATAATTACCCATTAACAAAGAGCTCAATTAAGAATTGATGAAGAAAAAAAAAAAAAAATAAAATAAAATTCATGCTATTGGCGTGCATGGGGTATATATATATGGGGCACTACCTAACTAGTGTATATATATATACTTACATTTTTATACTTGACACAAAAACAAACGAACTACCCGAACTACCATATATATTCTTACGTATACTAAACACCTCTTAAACCTAAGGCTTTTAATTTTTTTTTTTTTTTTTTGTAAAAAGAAAGCTTTACTAAATTATATGCTTCTAAAACAAGTGTATATAAAAAGCGTACTTATTTTATTACTTCCGTCTTTGGTACAATAGACTATTATTGTTGGACTATGAACCATAGCATATGGTGGTGTAAGGAGTGTGTGCGACATGTTGGCTGGTGGGGGTAATAGTGTATATAGAATCAATTATCTGTAACTATGTGTTTATTTGGATAATTTTGTTGATATTAGTTCTAGTGCAAAGGAGGAAAGTGGAACGCACCTTCTTCCCTTCTCCCTTCCGTTCCTGCATTTCATCAGAATTTAACAATTTCACAAATTATAAAATCTGAAACCCCGTATAGTCATTGCCTAGTTTGGTAAACGAACCACCTAGCTATACTTGATGTCACCTTTCATCTCTTTCTTTTCAAAAAAGAGCCTTCGATTAATGGCAAACCTTTTTTTTTTAAGGAGATTTCCCCCCCCCCCCACCTTCTCTCCCCACTGTTGCACCATTCGTAAATATTTATTTTTATTAGATTGGCCTAGTGATATAGGCATGAATATTTCCTCCTGCTTAAGTGTGACCTGTATATATATATATATATATGTAATAACAACACTTGTGCATTGCATGCTTACATGCATAATATAAAGCCAAGGTAACTGCAAAAAAGAAAAAGGCACAGAGAAAAAGATCTCAATTAGCGAGAGTCGTATAAACATTATGAACGCTATGATGGAAGATAAAAGGAACGAATTTTCCTTCGAAAATGAAGAATTCGAGGATGTTGAACATGCGTATGATAATTTCAATTCAGAAGTCCACGTTCATATGGGATTGAATGGTGAGAATGAAAGTGATGTTATGATTGATGACTTCAGCAGCAGTGGAAGCGAATGTTCTGGAAGTTGGGAATCGTTAAATAAGGACGATTGTGATAATGAGAACAGTGATACAGACAGAAAAAGTGAGAATGATGGAGTAGGGGATAATGACGAAATGAGTGAGGGAAAAAAGAAAAAAAAAAAAAAAGGGGAATCCAAAAAGGGAAAAAAAGACAATGACATAAAATTAGCAGTTAAAATTGCATTACAAGTATTGTTAAAAAATCAACCATTTCCAGTTAAAAGAGAAGAATTATTTTCAGCTATTATTATGTATGTACCGAATTGTAACAACAATACAAAAAAAAAAAAATTGATTTTAAAATTATTAAAAAAAAAAGTGAAAAACATCTTGGCATTAAACTTACTAACATTAAATTCGAAAACCAAGACCGAATATGTGTTAACGCAAAATATTACCTACAAAAAACATAATGATTTTTTATTTTCCAACTTAGATCATAATATAAGGGGATTTCTCATTTTTCTTATACCATTTTTTAAAGTATTTCATAATAAAATACCATTAAGCTATTTGCTTTACGAATTAAGTAATATAGGGTATAAATCGTTAAAAACAAAAGAAGAAATTGTCAAAATTTTGAATTCACCAAATGTATTTACAAGTATTGTTAATCATATTATAATGAGTAAACAGTTAGTGGATCCCCTTGATTATTTAATATATTCCAAAAAATTGTCTTATATCGATTTTAGCAATAATCATCAGTATGATGAAAATTCTATGGATGGCTTTTATTGCATACCCACTGCTCGATTTGAAAAAGAAATTAATATAAGACATTATATATTGGATATTATGAATGTTCCAAATAAAAAATTCCAACTAAAGGATATGTATGTATTGTTCGAGGAGAAATATTTCTTGGATCTCAATTATGACAATTTGTGAATTTCTCATCTAGGGTTGAATTCCCAAAAAAGTGATGATTCGAATAGTAATAATGAAAGAAAAAATGCACATGGTTCTTTTCACTATTATTGTATATTCATTAATAAGTTCTTTTCACTATCATTGGATATTCATTAGTATTGGAATACAACTATTCATTGCATTTCTTTTCATAGCAACGCTTCTCACGCGAAATGGACATGCACAGCACTGTAATACAAACGGGAAAAAAAAAAAAAAGAAAAATGGAAAAAACAAAAAATATATAGATTTTCATACCTTTTTCGTCCAAATAAAAAAAAAAAAATTGAAGTTAAAAAAAAAAAGAAAAAAAAAAAAATTCGAGCAAGGAGGGAAGAAGGGAAAAAAAAAAAGGACAGATTAAAATTTGTTTTTAAAAAGTAGATGGGTTCAAATGAAACATAATATTTAAACATTATGACAAAAATGGGGCATTTCCAAAAGGTTGTATATTTCTCGGTTATGTACAAACAGTTCCATGCACATACACACATATATATGTATATATATATATATAGTGACGTATAAATTTTTCTTTTTAGTGTGACTTTTTAAAAAATAAAACTTTAAAAATGGATTCCCTCCTTTTGCTTATTATGTAATTATGTACAATTTTATTTTTATAGATCATTCAATTTTTTTTTCTTTTTTCCAATTTTTGGGTATAAATAAAGTTGTTGTAATATGTGCAACAGTCGGGCCATATCAATACGTTGCGTACTTTACCTATCCTTAAGCCGCTTACGCAATAATAAAAAAAAAAAAAAAAAAAAAAAAAAAGTTTATTCGAATCCTCTCGTTTTCTGCATATATATATCCATATTGAAGCGCCTCTCCAGCAAGATGAGTCCTACTATTCCTTGTCCTCTTTTATAAGAAAATTTTTCAATTCATTCCACAAGTTCACTCGTTCTTCCCCCACTAAACTACCATCCAATTTTGCTGTATGAATTTTTTTGTCACAAAAATACCAAAGACTATGAATTTCATTTCCTTCAGATAAAGGAAAACCATTTTTATCTTTTACATTTATTGGTGGTCCCATTTCTAGTAAATTTTTTTGCTCCCTTAAACATTCCGATTTTTGCACGTTATTTATGTATTTATGATACTGTGTTTGTATTAAAATTTCTGTACAGTTCAGGCAGAACATGCTTGGATACCATTCGCTAGTATGGCTTGTTTTATATTCAATGTAATTACTTTCGTCAATATCATCATAACAAATTAGGCATACTAAATTTTGGGGTACCCTTTTTGCATGTGTTTCTTCCGTTTCCATCTCTGCATTGTTCAATTCTGCCTCTATAGAAAAGTCGTTCTTTTCTATTGTGTTCATATTATTTTGTCTAAAAGCTGCATTTGGGGAGGGTAAAGGAAAAAAGTGTATTTTAGTAGTGCGTGTATGGGGAGAGATGGAGGGGGAACTGTCACTTGTGCGCACGCTTCGTCACGACGCCTACGTAAATAGGTAAATATGAAAATAAGTAAACATACAATTATTCAAATATGCATATATGCAAATCCATGTGTATGTATTTGTCTGTTTTTACTTTTATGCGTTTGAAGTTAAGAGCTGTTGGAGTAAAACTGGTGGTGAGACTACAGTGGAAATGTGCGCGTATATGGGGATATTTAAGCAAGCATTTAAATCGGGATTCTTCTTCTATTAGAATGTGCACCATATTTATATTGCATGCCTGATTTGAGGAACCCCAAATTGGCAGACCTCGTGAATCAGAAATGATTCTCTCCACGTGTGTTCTGGGTAAGGACAAATGATGGACATGTCCGAATTGTGCGAATAACATAACAAGGGGATGGACAAAATAAAATCTACATTGACACGTTGTACTGTTCACGGGAATACAAATAAAATATGCCGAAATTTGGCAACTTGGCAATTCCGCCTGAAAACCAAGGTTCGTAGGGGAGAATTTTAAATTTATGCCAATGGAAACTTTGAAATAAAATTAAAAAAAATTACATAAACGACCAAAATGAGAAGAGAAAAATGGCAAAAAAAATTGCATAAAAAATGGCAAAAAAAATTGCATAAAAAATGGCAAAAAAAATTGCATAAAAAATGGCAAAAAAAATTGCATAAAAGAATGGCAAAAAAAATTGCATAAAAGAATGGCAAAAAAAATTGCATAAAAGAATGGCAAAAAAAATGGCAAAAAAAAAATGGCAAAAAAAATGGCAATTAAAAAATATCCAAAAAAAAGTAGCAAAAAAAAAAGAATAACAAAAAAAAAAAATAGCAAAAAATAAAACTGCAACTAAAATTTTAAACACTAAAGTGCATTTCATTTCCTTTTCTTTTCGCATGTGGGACTATTCATTTATCATTCACTCACATTTGACTTTTTTTCTTTTTTAATTTTTCTAAAAAAGCAAAAATGTAGAAACAATTGTTACGTAAATGTATGTACCTATGTACATATGTATTATATGTATTTGTTTGTATGTATATTCATGTATGTACATATATTCGAATACATTTATTTTCTGTACTTATGTACTTCGTAAAGTACTTGTTCATTTTATCGAAGCAATATGCCATTTTGGAGTGAGTTTTCATGTTCCCTTTATACTTACGGCATCACATGGTGTTCTACCCTTGTGATACACATGTATACATATTTTTGTTTTATAGATTTAAATATGACCTCTTTATTTTTAATCCCCTTTTAGTCAATGTCTAAGGGGGGGGCGGGAGGGTATGTATTGCATTTGTTTACATATTTTTGCAAATGTATATGTTTGTGTAAAAGTTTTTTTTTTTTTTTTTTTTTTTTTTTCATCTTCTTCCTCTTTTCGCGAACGTTATAAGGGGAATTTTTCTGTTTTTGTCCTTATGACATTTAATTTTTTTTCTTTTTCCTTTAGTGAGTATAAGTATACAAAAGAAAGGAGGGGTGGGGATGAAAGAACAGTTTTATACATTTCCACATAGGAAGGGATAACTTGACCTCGAAGTGGATAAGCTTTTTAGAAGTTACACAAAAGAGAAAAAAAGAGGGAACGTCCATTAGAGGTACATAAAATAAAATGTGCCTCACTTCAAATACAGGTTAATTTCAGCACAGCTTACTTCCAACACAGCTTACTTCCAACACAGCTTACTTCCAACACAGCTTACTTCCAACCTAGCCCATTCTCCACACAGCTCACTTTTCCCGGAGGATGGATCATTGCAGCAAAAAGATAGAAGAGCTGATAAAAGGAAATATTGATAAGGGAGAAATAGAAAGTAACGAAAAGAGTTATCTCATAAAAGGCTTAGTTAAGAATATTATTGAAATTGTAAAATTAACAAATAGGCTTTCTACTAACTGTTTATACGGGAACAAACTTGATGCAATGTCCAATGATGCAGAAATTAAGAATTTGCAAAACGATTTGCTTAAAGCTGCTTACGATTTAATATTTTATAGCTCCAGTGAGAAAACAAAAAGTATGATAACATGTGACTGTGAAAATGGCTATTTAACCATAGCAAATAATTATCATATCATATCAGCTACACTAGATGAAATATTTACAAGATCGAAAGAATGTTTTCGATTTTTTAATATTCAAAATAAGGATACTCCTATTTTAACATGTAAAAATAGTAAAATTCTGGATAAGCATTTTACAAGAAATTCTTCTCAGAATAATGAACAAAATTATTGCACAAACTTTTTATCATCTAATGTTGATGAGCAGGTGCAGGAAAAGGAAGAAAAAAAAAAACAAAAAATAGACAGAGATTTCGAGGAAGAGACACAAAAGGGAGGACGCTATACTAGATCTAGTAACAATAGTAATGTAACCCCGTTTATAGAAGATAAGAAAGAGCAACCAACTATGTTTATCAATGATCAGAACAGTATTATTATTACTCCACACACACGAATTGGTGAAGCAGAAGAAAAAGAAGTAGAAGAAGAGGAAGAAAGGAACGCTTTTCAGCTAATTGTCAATGCTAAAATATTGAAAGTTCAAAGTGAGTCTGAAGATAGTTCCTTGGATAAGAAATGCCAAAGTAATAAAGGAAAAAAAGTGAAAAAAGAAATAGATAAAACATATAAAAAAAAAAGTACACCAAATGCCAAGATAAAAAATGAAGAGAATATAGAAATAAGGAATGACATGAATCCATATAAGTACATTTCAAATAAAACGCAAAATTCATGGCTACACTTAATTAATAATTATGCGACAGTTTTCATCCCGCGTGTAATTTTCAAGTATAACAAACTGACAGATCTGGAGCACGACTTGGTAGAAGCAGTGAAGTTGCAAGAGGGATACATTAAAAAGAAGCAAAAAGTTTTGAATCTTTGGAGTCGTTTTAATTGTGGAAAGCTTAGGCATGTCAGTTGTGAAGAGATCATCAGAGATATATTTCAAGAAGACCCACTTGGGTATGATTCTCCAAGTGAAGAGGAGGAACAAACTGCACAGATGGGACAATCAGGGCAAATGGGGAACCCCGGGAAATCACGTGATCAGAGTGAATCAAAAAATAGAGACACAAATAATGGTTCATTGGGAGAGATGGCTCGACCCTACTCTCCGTGCAGCAGCTCAGATTGTGTTGTAGAGAATTATAGTAGCCCTATGGATGACGATTTTTTTTGGAAAATGTTAAAAAAGCTAAATAAGGACATAAATAAATATGAACACAAATATAGCTTCTTGAACCATCCCTATAGGTACGAAATAAATGATATAATTAACCAGTATGATAAAATGGATCAGAATATTTCCCATTTTGTGAAAGTAAATTCAGAATTGCATAAACCAATGGATATAAATAAGAAGGTATATAAAATTATATACAATAAAATTCAACTTGAGAAAATGGTAAATATTATAAAAAAGGATTGTGATCAAGTGTCCCTATCAATTGTAGTGAATTATAAAAACACTTATAGAGGTTTTACGTGTCTAATTTTAATAGGAACTAAGGATATTGATTATATTATTGATGTTCTTAACATGTATGAGGACATGCATATACTGAACGAGATAACAACAGATTCGAGGATACTGAAAATTCTGTACAAATCAGAAAATATCTTATCATTTTTACAAAAAGATTTTTCTGTTTATTTTGTTAACATTGTTGATATTTTTGTATGTTCAAATTATTTAAACATTAAAAATTCATTACCTTATTTAGTACACAACTATTTTCACGTTAGTGTCAATTCAGCGGGACAAGGCACAAATCTTTTAAAAAGACCATTATCTCCTGACACTGTTCATAATTTGAGAATGCACTTTCACTATTTGTACTACTTATTCGAGTATATCAAAACTGATTTGTATTTCAACTATATATTTAGCAAGTACGGAGGGATAGATGCTGAGGACACGACGGAACACATCAACCGTGCGAACCTGGATTTGCAGATTAATCAGGATGAGAAGGATGTGCAGAAGGAACAGCTTCATTTGAGTGAAACCGAGGAGAGGATTGTCCAAACTGCAAGCATAAAACAAGAGGAAAGTAAAGGAAAAAGAAATATTTACGTTAATTTTGAAAATATAAGATTCTCTGGCATATCAGAAGAGGAACAAAAATATGGGCAAGAAATCATCAGGACTGTATTTACAGACAGCAATAGAATATGCTTACTTCAGTACAAAATAAAAGAGGTGTGTGATGTGAAAAAAACGAAAGATCAAATTAAAACTATTATCAAAACTTCCTACTATAATTACACAAGTTGTGATAATTTAATAGAAAACATATTAACATGGAGAGAAAAATTGGCAAAAAAAAATGACGAATCTCCTGATAGTATAATTAATATTCATACAATTATTTCCATTATTTTGAACATGCCTACATCTATTTCAAGTTTAAAAAATAACATCATACCACTGTCTAATATAATATCAGAAAATTTAGAGGCTCTATTTGAAATTATAATCAAATCCAATATAAAAAAAAAAAAAAATCTACATTTTTATCAGAATTATATTCAAAATGAAAAATCACAACCTTATGACAAAAACGAAGAAGCTGAAATTAATTCTATGAAATTTCCTTTTCTTCACGAGGTAGAAAATTCCATAAGTACATACACTTCGAAAGACATTCTTATTGATCCTCCTAAAATGCATTTTCAGAGTATTTCTGAGGGTGCACAACAAGAGGAAATTCTACGGCCCCATAGGGATGACATGCATAGTAGCAGTAATGATGGATGTAACACTAATCCTAAGGAATGCAATGAAGCTGGTGAAAATCTTACCAGTAATGTGGATGAAGTATTTACCCTTGAGAGAACTTTTTTTAGCAATGATAAAAATGGGGAGAGTATCAAAAATGAATTTAGATCTCATGGAAGCAGAGATATAAAATATGAACATTACGCACAACTATCGTCTCTAATTAACTATGTGAAAAAGAGAAAGTGGGACGTGCGCAAAGTGTTTGAAGAGTCGAAGCAGGTAGAAGAAGTGAAAAAGGAGGATGTAGATGAAATAGAGAAAGAGAAGAACATTGATAAAAATACGAAAAGACAGCTACCTGAGAATCCTGCACATCGGGATGCTAATCAAAAAAAAATCAAACAAGTGAAACATAAGTCATATGTCCAGGAGTATAATATCAAAAACAGGAAGGGGATATACTCTAGTAACATTTTAACTGAGATGAACAAAAAGTGGAATAACTAGTAGATCCAGATATTCAAATCTGTATGGAGAAAAAGAACAGTGTGGATCGGGAACCCCCACACTGTGGACACACAAGCATATGGGGGAAGGAGAATAAAATATAATTCGATAAACAAGAATTGATTCCCTGCATTGAATGTTTTCTTTCCATCTATCTATCCATCTATCTATCCATCTATCTATCTTTGTTTGTTTTTTGTTTTTTTTTTTTCTTTACATGCCAGTTGGCATATTTGTGCATGCACAGACAAAGAATATTCTGCCGTGTCTCCATCCATTCCGCTATTATATGTTTGCTTTCATAGAATCTTATTATACTTCCACCCGTGTAATCTTACCGAGATCGTAACTTAACCACATAAGGACATTTCTCAATTCCACGTGTTTATCACATGGATTCCTCATGTGAGAAAATGTTGCATTTCAATAGGTGAAACGCACATATTTTGTTAGTATGCTAAGAAAACAAATTAAACTATTGCATGGGACATAATTTTCATATATCGCTACGGAAAGAACTTACATCATTTGTATGCTCGTAAAAGTATGAATATATGTTTAAAAAAACGTCTTGTTATTATTTTTTGCTAGGAGTAAGTTTAATTTTCCTTCTTTTTCTTATTCATATTTTTGTTATTATTTATTTTTTTCTTTTCTTTTATTTTTTTTACAAACCCTCCATCATAAACAAAAAAAAAAAAAAAAAAAAAATAGTGCTTTAAAAAAATCACTTTTTTTTTCATTTTATTTGAGCGTAACTTTTTTTTTTTTTCTTTTTTTGAGTTTTGTCACAATTTTTGAAGTTCAATATGCACAAACGGATGAAAATTAAAAAACAAGGAAATATCTGTTTTATTGTGTAATTTCCACTTATTTTTGAATGAAAAATACAGGTGTGTATTCAATTTGATGTGCAAGTCACTGTGTAACATAAAAGAAGGTGTGCAATTAGTACAATTGTTAAGACTTGTGAACGTGAAATTGTAAAAGTCAACAATTGAACAGGAGGGAAGGACATATGAAAAATTCCTTAAAACAAAATTGCCAATCCGTATTTACAGCTCCAAATTATCGTTTCCCATTCTCCATTGCACAAGTTTGTAGTTCTGCTTCACTTTGCGTCTTTTTACAAAAGAAATTCTGAATACATTCAATTTAAACACTAAAACCATTATGTGATTTACTCTGCGTTTGAACGCTGCTGATATGTCCTTATAATTCGGTAAAATTTCATGTCTGATTTTTTTTTTTATTTTTTCAGACTAACCCATCAGGAGTTTTATTTTGAGTGTTATATTATTTCACATTTTAAACGGTATAATAAAACAAGTATGTTAAGGATATTATCATGTTTTTATTTGGTGTGAAAAAGTGGATCAAAAACAGATTTTGACTTTTTCTGTTAATTAAGAAGCTATATATTCTTTCTCTTTTTTTTTATGAATAAGTCTAGGAAATATACAAATGCACACATATATTTATAAGATTTACATGTACAATTTTTTTTTTTAAAAAAAAAAAAAAAAAAAAAATGGCTAGCACACAAGCGAACAGTGGAATAGTGGGAGAACATGAAGGGGAAACGTTATCATTAAATACAAATAACAACTTGAAATACAACTTAAGCAATGATGAAAGCTATAAGAAATTAAAAGAAGACAAGAAGAGAATGAAAAAAGAACTGTTAATTAAAGATAGCGAAATAAATAGCCTAAAAAAAATTTTAGATGAAAGAGATAAGGATATGAAAATGAACTATGTTCCACTACATGAAGCTAGAAAAATTACATATAAAGCATTACGTAAAGGATCAGCAGCACAAAAATTTATATACTTAATAGAAAGTAATAGTATAAATTATAAATTAAAAAAAAGAGCCATCAACCAGCTGGTATTAAACGCATTCGGGGTTATGCATCATCAAAAAAATAAGTATCCTGAAATTTTAAAATACACAGACTCTCATTTAAAATTATTTAGACAAGAGCAATTAATCCTTTTAGCTGAAAATGAAAGATTAACATTACAGATGAAGGAATTAAAGAAACAACTTTTGGATAACAAAATTGATATTTTAAAAAAAAATGAAAGTAATTTAATATTGTCTATGAAGAAGGGTATAAAGGATAAAGGAGCAGGAAGATCAAATACTACAACCGCAGAAGATGACAATTACATGGAGTTAGACGCAGATGTTGTAGAAAAAAATTTTATAAATTTAATAAAGAATTTTAAAATAGCACAGCTAAAACTATTATTTTATGCATTTAGAAAATTAAGTAACAATTTATATTACAATGCCGACCCAGTAAATATTAGTGCAAGTATGATTTCTTCGCTTAAACGTGGTATAGATATCTTAAGCAACATTATAAGGTATAAAAAAGTTATATCTATTTGTTATGCATTTTATAAGTTGCTAACCTATAACGATAACAGTTTTGTGTATAATAACAAAAGATATTCTGAACAGAATCACATGCATCAATTTGTTAATCCAAGTTGTTACATAAAAAATAGTCAAAAAAATGGTCAAGGAATTTCCAACTATGCTTTTAAGCCCTATTACTATGATAATTTGCCTAGTGCTACATATGACATACGAAAAAAAAAATGTTCTTTACCAAGATTAAAAAAAAATTGTATAATGAAGGACATAACCATAAATGAGGATAACGCTTATCAAGTTTTGAAAGCAGACTACGAATCAAAATTTGAACCATTTATTTCAAGTGGCTATCGCATGAATGCAGTAAATAATAGCATAAATGAGTATATTCATGCCGGTAATACTAATGGTACTAACCACAAAATTTACAAAAATTCTTATTTCGATTTAGGGATAAATAAAAACGATAACGACGACTTCGAGAAGCGCACCTGTTACAGTGACTTAGACTTTGATTACCTTGCTGAATTCAGTAACTATGACAAGAAGAAGCTCATAGACATGTTTATATCAGAGACGTCGAAAAGGTGACACGCATAATGGAGGAAATTGGGAAATAGCAAAAATTGGGAAATAGCAAAAATTGGGAAATAGCAAAAATTGGGAAATAGCAAAAATTGGGAAATAGCAAAATTGGGAAATAGCAAAATTGGGAAATAGCAAAATTAGGAAATAGCAAAATTAGGAAATGTTAACCAGCTGAAATCACCCCTTCGATGCACATATGAAAGGACATGTGGCATGCATATATTGATGCCTCTGTACATCTATCCCCCTACCTCTCACGTTTAGTGTAATATTAGAAGTCCACAAAATTAACTAGTACCTCTGTGCTAATTAAATGCATATCGTGCGAATTTATACATATATATATATATATATATACACTCTGCTAATTTTTTGTTCAATCTTTTACCCCCTACCACAGAATACTGTTAAGTTTAAAAAAAAATAATATAAATGAATAACTTCGTCCATATGATACATGTGGCACTTATCTTTCTCTGCCTCCCACAAATCATCTCTTTTTTATTGCTTTCTTTATGCAAATACCACCATACTCTCACTATAGCTACAAGATGAAAACCGTTTTACTCTTTTAGCTCTCCGATCAAGTACGCTTTTGATATATTTTAAAAATGGGAGAAAAATGAACAGCGTTATAATATATAGATACTTAAGCACATAATTTAGTTCGACTTTCTACCCCATTTCATATTCCTTTCCGTAAGTCGGGAAGGTCATTGTTATTGCTACTATTATTGTATTATTATTGCTATATTATTGCTATATTATTGCTATTATTATTGCTATTATTATTGCTATTATTATTGTATTATTATTGTTACTATTATTATTTTTATTGTTATTTTTTTTTTTTTTCACCTTACATATTTATGCTTTACACACCACTGCTTTGCATATTTTTATTTTCTTGTCGAATGAATATGGCTCAAAAATGGCGTCCAAAGATCAACTAAAGGGCGCTTCATAATATCACATATGGTGTTATATATATAAGGCAGAATTTTCAGGCTAGTACAAAAGTTATTTCTTAAGTTCGCACATAACATACATATGAAATGTGTACATAAGTGTATGTTCATCTTAAGGGGGTGTTGATATCAATTTTCTACATTTATAGGTTTATTTACAATTTTTTTTATAAAATTAAAAAAGTCTATTTTTTCTTTCTTTTTTTTTTTTTTTTTTTTTTTTTTTTTTTGTAGTAATATATTGTTGTTGACTTGGGTAAATAATTAAAATACGCTTATTTTTTTTTTTTTTCGCTTCATCTTTTAGACTTCTCAAAAGAGTAAAATAAAATATAAAATGGTCATAAAAAGAAGTGGCCAATAATGTCAACATTGAGCACTTCAAAAAAAAAAAAAATAGTAGTAAAAAACTACTGTAATAATTGGAAGAGGATAAATAAATAAAATAATAAATAGGATAAAACGAAATAATGGACCCCACAAATAAGTAGGTATGTGTTGACTGAAAGTGCATATAATATAAAAATGCTAAATTTCAAAATAATAAAAAAAAAAAAAATTGTAAAAAATATTCATAAAAAAATGGGTATATCAAATACAGTATTATTTTTGTACATGTTCTAAATAAACAAGAAAATCTATTAAAATATTTACATGGTACAATGCGTTTCCTTGCATGCACCTGTGCACGTGTACGTAGGGTTTGGGGAATAAATGGGCGCGGTTGAGCACTACGTGAGTTGTGTATTATATGCTTTTGTACAAGATCATGTATGCATGACATATGGCCTTCATGTACACATTACATTCAAATCGAATACATATCACGTACGCAGACGAATGTATCATGGAAGGATAACCAAAAACAATCTTCTTCATCCTCACATGAATGTATTTTAAGAGCCCTTAAAAAAACTAGCATCCCCTTTTCTGATGAATTTAAAAATGCCCAAATGGGTAAACAGTGGGTAAGAAAAAAAAAAAATAAAAAAATATATAATATAAAAGTAATAGTAATAATAGTGATAATAATAGTGATAATAATAGTGATAATAAGGGTGATAATAATAATAGTGATAATAATAGTGATAATAATAATAATAATAGTAATAACAAATAATAAAAAAAATAAATATAAAAAATAGGAATAGTAAATGTGGTAGTAATAAGTGTGGTAATATAATATATCTTTTAATATATATAGCTATGCATATATTTATATGCACGTGGTAGGAAAAGCTTCAGTTTTAACCAACTCGTGGAAAGTGACGAAGTTGTAGCTACCTCCTCCTCAGTTTCGTCGCACGATTTGCGTGCATTGAGGAGAAGGGATTAAGGTATGTGCAATATAAAAAGAAAACAAAACAAAAAAAAAAAAAAAATAATAAAATAAATAAAAACATAAATATATGTTTACATGTGAGTGTTCTTCCGCTAGCGCTTGTACTACTAACGGTTCTGCAAAAACTGCCGTTCTTCAAGTACCCATTTTGTGTCATATGCCCGGTGTACTTTTGTCGCTGTAGAAAAAAAAGTTCACAGTTTGTCCAAATAAAAAAGCTGGTCCTTTAAATCCATATGACTCGGGAGCTTGCTATTCTTTATACACTCACTAAATAATTCCAGATACGGTTCTAATTCATTAATGTGTTTGGTAAACTTTGCACTTTTCAAACATAATCGCAAAGAATTTGTATATCTCTCCCTTTTTTCAATTCCTACTGGTATTTTTGGTATAACATTTTTTTTTAAATCCTGTAAAATTAAAGATAGGGCTTCCCTTGTAAGATCAATAAAATTTGCCTTATAATCCTCCTGGTTATTATTACAATAATCCGAATAACAATCATTTGAGAAAACAAAATTATAATCATTTTCATAATTTGTACTTTTATTATTTCTTTGCTTTGGTACATTTTCGCTATAGTCATATGTCGTTGGCTTTATAAAATAAAATTCCTCATTTGTTTGTTCAGGTGAATCTATCTGAAAATCTTTGTCTGTTATGATGCACGTATTGTTGCTGGAGCGTGTGTTATGATAATTTCGTGCATTGAACGGGTTACTGACGTTTGAGAAGTTATGATGGTTTTGCAGATGCGTGTTCTGATGATTGTGTTGATTATTGTTATGATGATTCTGCAAATGGGTGTTCTGATGATTGTGTTGATTACTGTTGTGATGATTTTGCAGATGAATGTTCTGATGACTATGTTGATGCTTGTTGTGGGCGCTTTTATCCAAGTGCACGTTTTGGAAGTTGTTATTATTATGACCAATTTTATTCATTTGTTCATTCTTCCATTTTTGAGAAATTTGCCCGTTTTTCACAATATTCACGGTATGTATGTTGCTGTTACGGATATTATGGGCAATATGCGTTGCATGATTGCTTGTATTAGTTTGATCATTATATCTATTGGTGTCATGGTAAGAAACATTAGTATTATCATTTCTTACAAGATAATTAAAGTTATCAATAATTGTTTTTTTCTTCTTTCTAATATCTGTTTGAAAATTGTCTAGTGTATCCATAATGGGTTCACATTGTCGTTTTCCATTTTGTACATACATGTGTTGATTTTTTTCTTCATAAAATGTTTTCACTTCGGCTCCATTTAAGTTTAGATTGCTACTCCTATCATTTGTTGCATGATAACTACGACAGTTCCGAGTCAAAGCACTGTAATTTGTATTCTCAAGGTGATGATGATGTCCATTTATTTGATGTTCCTTAAAGATGTTATTATTTCCTCCTCCCTTTGTGTTAGTTCCTTTACCGTGTATTCCTTTTGTTAAACTTATTTCTCCTACTTCCTTAAGATGGTTATTTGCATTCTTTGGACTAACTGCATTATTACCCTTCAGGGAAATATTTCTTTTATTAGTAGTATTTCCTTTAAGGTTATTATTTCCTCTTAAAGCTGTATTTGATTTGGTATGATAATTTCCCTTTGAACTGTGTCCTCTATTGTTGCTAGGACTTACACTTCCATTATTACTCGTTTTTGATATAGATGCATCATCATCATTATTATAATTTTTTTCATCCTTTTTATTTAATTCTTCGATTGATTTATAATTTCCTCTTCTTGTATTGTAACGTCTCTTTTGGTCTGGTCCTTCATCTGTTCCATTGGTATTTATATTTATATTTACATTTTCGTTATTCATAGTGTTTAGATTCTTTACATCTAACGATTCTTGCATTTCTATCTTTGTATCGTGTGTTCTACTAGCGTCATTATAACTATGCATTCTAGTTCTACCAACAGAATTATTCTTTGGCTCATTTTTAATTTTCATGTAATCATCATTGCTTTGTGTATTAGTTGACTCACTGCTGTTATTGTTTCTGCAAGTGTTATCATCAACTTGAGTAGTAGTCGTCACACTATTAATAGAGTTAGCATTAATCATAGTAGAATTTTTACATTCAACTGCTAGCATCTTGGCTCTTTTAAAACCATGCTTTTTTACTGAAAACACGCGAAGGTGTCTTCCACTTCCTTTAACACAAGCTAGCCAACATTTCGTTCTAGCATTGTACCAAACTCCTTTGTTTTTTGTATTATCATCATTTGTATCACCCACTTCGGATTCATTTGTATCCATTCCTTTTTCGTATGTTCCATTTTTTTCACAGTTTTCTGTGAGATTCTCTGAAAAATGTGAAAATAAGAAAATGAAAAAAAGTAAATAATGATATGTGTTGCAAGGAGAAAAAAAAAAAAAAAAAAAATGTATATTGTGCATAGATTGGCTATATATGTAATGTTCTGTAAATTCAGGGAACTGAAATATTCGAGATGGAGCACAAACTGCGAATTTGGATATCAATGAAGTATTAAGCAAAATGCATCATCAAAGTTAATCAACCGTAAGAACAAGTCTTGTATGAAAAAAAAAAAAAAAAAAAAAAAAAAAAAAATTCACCAATGGAACTTAACATCACTTATGTAACATGATCACTCGGAATAACTTATTCCTCATATTTTATTCGTAATGCAAGGAAAGCAGTATTACCTTTCTGGTTTCTAAATGTGTTTGTATTATCTTCGTAATTAATCATTCTTTCTACGGGTTGTTAATTTTTTTTTTTTTTTTTTTTTATATATTTACTCATATGTGGTTGTAAACGCACAGAAATTTGCACATGTAGGTATATGAGTAGAAGAGCTTGTTATGCATACAATTATGTGTGCCCGTTCGTGCGTGTGATAAATCGGATTCGATTTAAATGATAAACAAGTAATAGGGGCGAGAAGGAAAAATATTGTCAAAATATGGTGTAAAATGTGGCGTAATATATGGTGTAAAATGAGGCGTAATATATGGTGTAAAATGTGGCGTAATATATGGTGTAAAATGTGGCGTAATATATGGTGTAAAATATGGTGTAAAATGTGATGTAAAATATGGTGTAAAATGTACGGAAAAATGTTGGAAAAAAAATATAATAGCACAAGTTTTAACTTTGGTATAATAATTCTACAGAATGTGAAAAAATAAAAATATGTGTATACTGATATTTCTTACTAATAGGGTAAACATCTAAACATATAGATTCACATAAAAATGTTGAAACACATGTATATGATTATATATATATTGCACATGTATGCTGTATTACATACGTGCTGGTACCCATTCAAGAATGCGTGCAGGGATACATACATTCATAGATACATAATGTGTTTCCCTAAAATTTTTTCAACGGTGATAACATCAGAAAATAACAGCATCCTTCTCTCCTTATGTTCTTAGCTACTAACACTACTGTTTTTGGTGCATGTAGAGTATTCATAAAAATATTTCGCTTCGTTGTGAGAAAAATAAGAAAAACAACACAATAAAACAGTCATCAATATGAGGTAAAATAAATATAGATACGCACAAGTTATACACTTGTTATTGCACATATGATTGTATATGTGTGGTAAGATGTGTACATATAGCCATGTGTACAAAATAATGTCTATGCCTTTATATGCACAATACACAAATCAATAATTCGTAGAATGAACATGTGTATATATATATGAATATATAAATATATATACATATATGAACATACATAAGCATATATAAACATGTGTATAAGCATATAAGTGCTTATATTTGTACAAACATATAAGCTGATCCAGTCTTAATGCAAAAAAAAAAAAATAAATAAATATATAAAAAAAAAATTATATATATAAATATAACTAAAAATAAGAAAATGAAAAAAAAAAAAAAAAAAAACAGGTTAAAAAAATATGGAAAATAATTAATTTAAAAAAGGTTCATTAATAGGTGTAAATAAATAAATGTATGTTACGTGTATATTTATTTAAGTACATATAAAGCAAATATAAAAATGTAACAAAATATATACATATATATATATATATATATACATTTATATATGTATAAAAATAAAATAAAAACTAAAAAATAAATTAACACTCACTAATGTTAATGACAAAAAATAATTCAATTCAAATAAAACTACAGCCGCTGCTTTTAATTTTATTCATTTATTAATTTTTTTTTAATTTTTCAAAAAGCAAGCAGTCATGGCTTTGGTTGTGAATAAAAATATTATGTATACATGAAGTGTAATATAATAATTATACAAGTTTATTTATGTGCAAACAAGTAGGTTAGCCTATAAATGCAAAAGGAAAAAGATGAGAAAGGGTTGTAATAGGAAAAGTGAAAACAAAGAAAAGATGAAGTTGTGCTGGGGTGGTCATAAAGTCATAAAATGGTAGTAAGATGGAAATTAGTAATAAAATTAGTATTAAACTAGTAATAAATTAGTGATAAATTTAGTAATAAACTAGTAGTAAAACAGGAAAAAAAAATAAAAATAATAATAGTGATTATTTTAACTGAACAATTATAAATTTGTTCAAAAAAATAAGGAAAAGTAGAATATATAAGGAAAGAAAAAAAAAAAAAAAAAAAAAAAAAAAAAAAAAAAAAAAAAAAAAAAAAAAAAAAAAAAAAAAAAAAAAAAAAAAAAAAAAAAAAAAAAAAAAAAAAAAAAAACAGAAAAGAAAAGAAAAAAAAAAGAAAGTGTGAAAAGGAAAAAAAAAAAAAAAAAAAGAAAAAAAAGAATAAGTAATGTGATGAACTTGTCACAAAAAATAGGGGGCATTAAAATAAGTAAAAAAAAAAAAATATATATATATATATATATATATATATTATATATACATATACATGTACGTATATATACAATTACATGCACGTGTACGTGTATACGTACATATTATAAAGAAAAGATGAAGATGTGCTGGGGTGGTCATAAAGTCATAAAATGGTAGAAAGATGGAAATAAGTAATAAAATTAGAATTAAACTAGTAATAAATTAGTGATAAATTTAGTAATAAACTAGTAGTAAAACAGGAAAAAAAAAAAAAAAAAAAAAAAGTGATTATTTTAACTGAAAAATTAAAAATTTGTTAAAAAAAAAAAGGAAAAGAAAAAAAAATAAGGAAAAAAAAAAAAAAAAAAAAAAAAAAAAAACACAGAAATGAAAATGAAAATAAAAAGAAAGTGTGAAAAGGAAAAAAAAAAAAAAAAAAAGAAAAAAAAGAATAAGTAATGTGATGAACTTGTCACAAAAAATAGGGGGCATTAAAATAAGTAAAAAAAAAAAAATATATATATATATATATATATATATATTATATATACATATACATGTACGTATATATACAATTACATGCACGTGTACGTGTATACGTACATATTATATATTTATGTATACACAAACGCAGTAAAAAAAAAAAAAAAAAGGTAATTACTTAAAAGGATACAAGTAGATTGCTTGTTGTGGTGTGAACCTTTGTGTAATTACTATATTCACTTGGCCACTCTGGTGTATATGGATAGGTATGTGGCAATGAAAATTAATCAATGATTCGATTGTCATTTAAAGCGCGTTAGAATGGAATAGAGAAAGGCGAGATTTCTGTAAGCACAACACTAAACTCGTGCGTTATGCAGGTGTTCTTATAATATATATATACATATATATATGTGTTTAAATACATTTAGGAAAAATATAAAAAGAATAAATAAATAAAAATAAAAAGTGGCATTAATAAGAAAAAAAAAAAAAAAAAAAAAAGTGTGCAAAAAATTTCATATTCTTACTAATTTTTTGCACAGTGGAGATTATACCTATTTCGTTCTATAATAATATGTACATGAGAAATATGCACTTATAGGAGATAATATATTATAAAAAAGTGTACGTGTTGCGTATGAGTGTTTTTATGTATGTTTACATTTACGTAACTTGTACATGTGCAATCTCACAAACACTGTTTGTAACAATATTTCCTAATAATTCTCTAAAATTCACATTCAAGTTCTTAATAGAACAAAATTAGTAAAACATCAATAAGCAGCAAAGAAAAATATGGAATTTCATGAAAGTCTATGTAAAATGGTGCCACAGTGCAAATTTTCACCACGTGTTAAAGAATTGAATAAGCATATAAAAGTAAATAAATTAATTTTATAACACTATTAAAGAAAAAAAAAAAAAAAAAAAATGCAACAAAAAATAGGCGACATAAAATAGGTGACATAAAATAAGCAACATAAAATAAGCAACACAAAATGAGCAACATAAAATGAGCGTCATAAAAACAATCATCATAAAAATATTCAACATAAAATATACTTACCACTCAGTACTGACACTCAATAACACGTGAAGTGGTAAACAAAGTTTAGCAATAATGCAAAAATGGTAAAAAAGCGAAAAAAAAAAAATAAGGAAAATGGGTAATGATTTAATGAAAAGGTGATAAAATAAATAAAAAAATAATAATAATAATATAGCTTTAAAAAGGTGGGAAAATCCTTTTGTGAAAAAGCAAACGCTGCTTATAATAATCTGTCGGCCAGTTGGAGGGACTAAAAGTAAATGTGACCATAAGCAGATATGCTGCAGATATATGTATATATAAATGTACATATTTATGTATTATACATATATACATATATATATATATACATATGTATAAGTGTATACTCGTAAAAAAGGTACTCAGAAATAATGTCGCTTTAACAGACATGTACCACGTATACGCAAAGATTCACGATCGTGCACAAGAAACAAAATTTCTTATTCGGTTTCGTGCAAAGATGAAATATTTTAATGCAATTATTTAACCATGCAGAGGTATATATATATATATATATCCATTAATCCACCGTATATGAATGGACATAGTAATGATGGAAATGCGCACAAGTACAGCCTCCGTGTGTTTATCTGTATTCGTTCTTGTTTACGTTGTTGTGTTCCTACAGTATACATTTATACAGTTAAATATGCAAACGCCACGATAAATGCATATACAAAGGTATAATAAGCATAAAGGTACATACTTGCAACATATGCATAGATTCAAAGTTCCATAGATAATGCATACGAGCGTAGATTCACACATTGATATATACGCGCTCACATGTCACATGGAACCTGCATACATTCGTCTGTCATAAACAAATATTTTTGTAGGTATGTATAACTTGATATAAAAAAGTATAGAAAAAATTGTAAACATATAATAGTAATGTTGTGAAAGTTTCAGCAAATCCTTACACCTTAAAAGGGTAGGGACTAACTGAAAATAGTAAAATGCTATGAATACAAGAATTCATTTGTCATTATTTTTTCCACCATCATTATAATTATTATTATTGTTCTTATTACTATTGTTATTGGTATTATTATTGGTATTATTATTGGTATTGTTATTAGTATTATTATTGGTATTATTATTAGTATTATTATTGGTATTGTTATTTGTATTGTTATTTGTATTATTATTCGTATTATTATTGTTATTGTTATTGGTACTGTTATTCGTATTGTTATTGTTCTTATTTTTGTTATTCTTATTACTATTCTTATTGCTATTCTTATTGTTATTTCTATTATTGTTTTTATTATTATTTCTATTATTTTTTTCTATTCTTTTTTTTTTTTTATTTTATTTTGCTTTATTTTACTTTTTTTTTTTATTTTACTTTTAATTTTTTTATTTTTTTTTCAA